AGATGACTAATGTGTGGCCTCCTCCGCATAACACCTCCCCTCCTCTCTACCAACACCGCAGTCACCGCTGAGCTGGCCTCAAACAGCCCTGAACATCGCTGCAGGTGGACAGACTGAGATAAGCATAGGTCAGTCCACAGCCGCAGAGCTGACGGACCAACAAGTCTGCACTTTATAGCTGCTGTACTACTTGTTTTGCACACTATTCATCTTAAATTTCTCTCATTGTTTATATGTAGTCTTAACTGTTTTTTATAGTCTGTTTCACAGAGGCCTAATTTTTCTTCTTTTTTACAAAATCATCTATTTGGAAACTAACAAAGTTACCTACATTACGCAATATTTTGCTTGTTTGCAGAGTTTTTTTTTCCCCGTTTGTTTGTTTTTTATAGCTAGCAGTTTTACTTACAAGGTAATTTATATAGGCTGAAGAATAGTCTAAAAAGCCTTATTTATTATTATAGCTCCCGAAAGCACACATTAAATGTTTTGTAGTGTTGCATGTAAGTAATTTAGATCGCATTTTCATTAAGTGTCGTTTAGATCCAGCAGTGCACTGTACAGTACTCTCTCCCCCCCCCATAAAGTAGAAAGATCTTTAGTCTGTGTTATAAAAAAAAAAAGCTGAATTACGTTCCTATCATTTCCAATCATCTCTTTCAGCATTGGCGAGCAGCTACTGCATGAGAAGTGTAGAAGTAAACACAGGCGACTTGGTTTCTGGCTCTGGCTGTGAGAGCAGTTAAACTGCAATCAGGTGAATCAGCATGATAGGGGAACAATAGGAGCCTGAGGCAGACACAGTCCAAATCCCAGACCTCACCCACTCCTCACTCTCTTGTTACTCACTGCCAGATACAATCAGACAGTCGCTCTGCACGAGAAAATATAGGAAATCCACTTCCCCTCGGACTGAAAGTCAGCTGTTGTGTTCTGCATTAATGTATGAGAGGGTCAGAGAGGAAACATGACAAATTATGTTGGTTGCCGTTAACATCAGTTTATTATAATTGAGGTGTTAATTGGAGATTTTAATTTAGCATTTATTAAGTATTGTTTGTAAATTAGTATATTTCTCAAGTTCTATTTAAAATGTTACATATTATTTATGTGTATGTTTAGATTACATATAGACACAGTACATGCACGTTATATATTAGTTATATATATTGATATACTTTATTTTTTTAATATAGTGTATTTCACTCCAGCATATTTTATTATACACCATATATTGTACTATATGCTATTACATCTATCACTGTCTTATTTATCTCAGGAACATGTGCGAAAGTGGTTCAAATCTGCTTGTTGGACCTAGACCATTTATGCACACTGACAATAAGGCACCTGTCATTAGCCAATAGGGTTTTGACCAATGTCAATTTATTCTACGATTTTTCTACTTGTTCTTTACTCTCCTCTAGTTACTGCATCTGCATAAAGCTTTTTTTTTCAAGTTATGTTGTGTCTGTTGTGCTTATGTTCTTGCTCTATACTACAAAAAAGTGTAAATTCAGGTTTCACATATGACACAAATGGCGTTATAAACATTTATATATAAAAAACAAAACATCAACACAATTAAAAGAGAAAAGCAGTAAAGTGCAGAAAGACAAACAAGTCGACAGCACCACAAGTCGATACGCCTTTTATTTATTTCAGAAACTTTAATACTGTGATCACTGCAAATGTCTTTTTCATACCTTTACATTTTACAAAGACAATGGATCCAGGATGTAAACAGTATTTCTAATTCTGTAAAATGCATGGTCCTCATGAAACTGTGTGCTTTTAATCACCAGTCAGAGCTGATCACTTCACTGTTTAGTTTGTTCTTCCAACAGGAGGAAACAAAATGGATCTCGACACGGCGGCTTTCTGAAACCTTTCTCCCCCCTGCTGCAATCACTAACCTCACAAGTTGTGTTTGACTGAAAATCAGCACCCCTTACAAACAACATCCAACCTGCTCTCGTCTGATGAGTGACGCCTAAGGAAAAGAAGGGTTCAGATTTCTTCAAGTGATTAAAGTCAAGCACCTTCCTCTGTTTGTCAGGAACTGCACTGGCAGAAAAACTACGAGCAACATCTAGACAAGATTATACAGGAATGGATCAAATCCCTCTTCTTATCCAAAACCTGTAAACACATTGTGCAAAGGTTCTTAAAAATAAAAGCTTTTACAAAATGGAACATTTGAACATTCACATCATTCATATCCTTCTGAAAAGCACCAAAAACAAAGCTGTGGAAAGACAAAGACTATACACTGTAAAATAACTCAATATTCACATTGGAGCAACTGGACTGGTGTGTGTGTGTGTTTATGTCTTTGTAATCTACCTAACATCCAACTTGATGCACACTTTTAAAGATGCGAGCAAAACATCTGCACTGCACAGTTTGTCATTTGGCCATACTTCGTTTGAAATACAAAAAACTAGAGCACTTTCCATGTACAGTAAAACATTACCTATTAGTCATCATTTATACATTGACACGCAATTTACACTCCAAACGTCCTGGATAGGGGAACATTTCTGCCTACAGGACTCGTATTTTGTGTATATTATGAGGATTTCACATTGTTGGATGACTAGACTGCTTTTCACAACTGGCCAACTTGTTATACAACCAAATCATCTCACCAAACAACATACATACTATTATACTGTTCACTGGTGTTCTGTCTACAAGAGATTCTTAAAACAGAACCATGACTTCTTTTTGTTAAGTGTATACTCATCTCCCCGCAAAACTGCAGAGCTGAATGTCTGTTATAGTAAACATCACATTTCTTAGGCTTTTTGAAATTCTCTTTACATTCAGATCGGGTGCCGTTTTGTGCTGCAGGGTTTTAATTGCATCAATTTAAGAAGCAAATTTACTTTAAGAGATTCAAAAACTGGGAGTGTTTTTTTCATCAAAGGGTGTTTTGATAGAAAAAGGGACAGGGAATTAAGGCTTAAACCACATTTGTGAAAAATAGTTTAACTGTACACGCTCAGGTTAGCAACATGAAATAACCCCAACACCTGGCTAAGGAAATAGCTTTGTGGCTCCCACTTGCGTTGTAATTAGCTTTGTGATTTGGAGACCATTTTATTCGAATAATTCGAAAAATATACTGCATGTAACTGAATGCAAAGGCACACACTCCGACACATTTCTATACACTTCACACACCCTGTGTCTGGAGGCTGGCCAGCCAGATTGTGGTTCAGTAAAAATATTCATATGAATGAGAGAGAAATGCTGGAGCACATTTATGAGGCACAGTCTACAACTGTGAGTGTGAAGTTGATTCAAACTAATAAGTGTGTAAGGTGAGTGTGTGTTACCAGGTGTGTTCATTTTTCAGGATGAAGAAGAGCCTTTCCCTTTCATCTGTTCCCCAGGTGCTGTTTCAAAGGCACGACCCTGCTCTGCCTGGGAGTAAATGACCAAAATAAGTGACTGTAGGCACGGCTGGATAGACTGGATACATTCACACAATGACAACACACACTGCCCCCGGTACAGGAGGTGCTGTAGCTCCCTCTTATCATGGAGTATTTCAATATAACCATGTAAGTACTTTCTCACAAGATCCTCACATTGCCAACAAATACTGAACCTGAGGAAAACTAAAGATGTTAAAATTTAACACGCACCCACACACACACACACCCACATACATACAAGTACACCTAAGGTCTGCTTCCTTTATCAAAAATCACCCTGTGATTGTCTCTCAAAGCTGGCTTCTGATTTTTCTCCCTGTCCTGTTCTTGCGTGGCCTCCCGGTTGATGTCTGTCTGATTGCAGAAGAGGCGGTGGAAAAATACAGAGTGACTGGCAGCACATTTAATAATCATGACATTTCCACTGGTCATCACTAGAGGGCACTGTAAGCAACACAACAGCAGGCTTGGGCACCACAAAATACAACATAATACAGAATAAAAAGCATATAGTCGGACTTTCGCCAGAATTAAGAAAGAAAGCCATTTAAATAATATAGCTAGTGATCGTTTCTTGAGGAACTAAACACTCATGTCAGTTGTACTGTACGAATAGAACAACTTATTTATTGGAATTATAATACAAGGAAATAAATTAACCTGGGGAAAAAAGTTCTCCCCTTACTTTTCCCTCCCAAAAATGTCTCGAACATTTATTATCAGCTTGCTCTCTGTATTCCAGACAGTGGGATGGTGAGTGGAGTCCTCTTTCCTGCCCCTTTCCCTTTTCACAAAAGCACGATGTACACCGCTTTAATGGAAAGGATGGAGGCTCTTGTGCAGCAGAGACTGGTGTCTTGTAAGATTAACCTTTGAAAAACACATTTTCCCACATCAATCATCTTCCCAGAGCAAACTCCCCACCTTTTTTGGAGACAGACAGGAGTCCTGACTTCTTCCTATTGCTTTTAAGACACATACATTGGGATAGACCAAAGCACTCTGGATATCAGTCATGTTTTATGGCACCACATGCCGATGCTTATAAATATACTCCTCTGTGGGGTGTTGGTTTGTGCTGTAGAGACATATAGGATACTGTAATCCAGATATGAGTAACACAGAGGAGGGACAACCCCCTAACCCCCCAAAAACAAATCCAGGATTCCCTCCTGTTCAGCGGCGGATCGACCTGCTTCCATGTACATGGCTGACGGACAAACAGCCTCGACGTCCCCCCCGTGGTCAGTAACTTTGAGGAGAAGAAACACTAAACTTCTTATTCTACATTTTCACGTGAAGTGCCCAGTGGTCTTGTGGCGTCACATTCATCTTGTTTGTGATTTCAGCAAACTCCAAGCGGCTGGGCTGGCAGTTTTGTCGCGTATCTGTCTGACTTGGCGTGGCTTTTCAGAGACTTCTTCTTTTAAGTCACATGGATGTCTCTGCTACCCTCTGCTGTGGCGGGTTTGATTTGGCACAAAATACTCGAGTCACGTTTCAGAGAAGCTGCAAACATTGATCAAAATATCTGAAAAAAAGAACAAATTGGTGACATAAAAAGGCCTGATATCTACAGTAGTTTGTCTGTAAAAAGTACTTCCACTGGGAAAGCATGGCAGGGGAGGTCTGGTGATTCTTTACGTTTACACCAGGATGAGGCAAAGCTGACTCCTTTAGAAAGAGTTGGGAGGGGAAGAACTTCCTCTTTGTTGGCAATTTTTGCTAAAAAGATTTTGGCACAGGAAGATGAGAGAATGATCAATTCTGCATCGCTTTCATGGTCTTAATGGAAAGTAGAGGTCAGTCCTTCATAATTAGATAAACGACACTCATTTTTCTTAAGTCTCATCCTGAGAAGTTTAACAGTGGAGTGGAGACTGAGACTGGCTGACAATATTACCCACTGATGTTTGAACCCAATGGAAGATGGTCAGAAGGTTCAGCATCAGGCTAACTGGGTCTAACAACAAGTCTCCATATTTCTTGTGCACAATTTCTTGTCAGTGTCGATTGCCCGCTGCCTCGCCGTCCAGACTATGTATGTATGCATTTGTGTACGAAGTGCATGTGTAAGTAGAAATGCGCAGGTCGGACTCAGTTCATGTCGATGGTGTTGAAGACCCACTCTGTGAATTTCTTGAGCTTTGCAGCAGACGTCTGGGACTCCTCCTGCAGTCTCTGGTTGTCCTCCCAGAGCCTCTTGATCTGACCCTGAAGCCTCACCTTCTCTTCACGCTCCTGTGAAAGATGTTACATCAGATAAAATCAATGAATGAAACCAGTTATTAGGCAGCTAACTTTGGGAAAAACTGAAATGAGTGACAATAATGAAATGAAATGTCTCTCAAACAAAACAACAACAAAATCACAAAACATTCAAGATTCAACACATAACTTTCTGTAAAAACCTACTCAGCTGTTTGGGGTTCACATAAACATCTCAGGCCTGCAGACAGTGAGTCGGCACTAGATAGAACTTCAGGGCTTTGAGGGAAGATTTTATCAGATGACATTTTGAATCCACCAACAGCACTAGTTGGGTGCATACATAAATATCCAGCCTGTTAAATAAAGCACTGAATCTGAGGAGTTTTGTCTTCATGCTCTGAATCAGCTGATTGCTACTAGCTTGAGGACACTTGAGATGCAAGTAAGTAAGTTTTCCTTGTGTTAAAAAAAGCAGACAGCTCAACACTTTCCAGTATTTCACAGACAGCAGAGAATTGCGTTACAACCAGACTACAGCTATATTGTGGGTGACAACTTCCCTGTTTAGAGGTCAGCATTATTAACAGGTAGGCCACAACGTCTGCAACTAGCATCTCAAAGCAACTTTAAAATGTGACAGAGGGCCACAGCAGCAGAGGACCTTTTCGTTTTCAGTCATGTAAGTTCAGAACGAGGTAACAGAGCTTCTGTACACGATCACCAAAACTGGGTCTACTAAAAATATTCCCTGATGCTGAAGTAGAATTTGGTGCAAATAGGAATCCATTTGTGCTGGGATCAACATTAGATGACCTTGAGAAATGGTAAGAGGAACATTTTCTTGGTTCACATTAGGCAGTGTAGGACCACCTGAACATCATTAGCTAACTTGTTGGTGACTTTCTTTAGTCTGTTGTTTTTCAGTCAGACACTTTTGGAAGGATAATAGGCTATAGTCTATGGCTCTTTGAAATGACAGAGTGTAATTAATTCCCTTGACTATAAGGGAGAGTTTTAGGAGTAGGTAAACAGGATATTTGTTGAATAAATGTGCTGCCAAAAAATCTGCAAGAATAGTTTAAGTGTTAGCTTGGATCAAGTTAGGTGTGTGAAATGTACCACACAGAAGTTGTTTTTGAGCCTTTTACGTGGGAACACAGTGGAAGCAACTGAAATGTCGACACAAACTGGAAAAAGAGTGTATGAGTGGATGGGAAACCATCTGAGTCTAGGGGTGCAACGAATCATCATCATTGTATCTAAAAATCAATGATGAAATTAGTTGGCAACAAATTTAATAACGGATTATTTCATGACGTCAACGGGCCATAGCAACACCCAGATTGCTGGAGTTAAGTGTAAAGTAGCAACATCAGTGATAACATCTCCTTCAAGACTTAAAACCATCAAAGTGTCAGGAAAAGTGACACCCCACATCCCTATTTACTGTGAAACCACTTATTAAAGGTTCAGTGTGTAAGATTTAGTGGTGAGGGTTGTGAACTGCAACACTCTATCCCTTCTACCACTGCCCCCTAACCTTTCAAAGAGGGTAGGACAGCTATGGTGTCTGACACAGCACAAAAGATGTCTCTTCTGAGACAGCAGAGAGTGGCCAGTCAAGAAATGAGGTTTCTTTAGGTATATTTATTATGAAATTATATTGACTTATTTGTTCAGTAAAACCATATTATTGCGACTTTGCCACTGACAGACAACATGGAAAATGTAAGCCAAGTGTGTGAAACACTGTCACTGTTTCTGCACCACAGTCCTTTATAAACCACAAATTAAATAAAGTTTATACAAACATTGACAAGGGAAAAACATTATTCTCTCAGCAAACAAATTTGTCGTGTCGGCAAAAAATATAAATAAATAAATACTTTGATGGCGGTGCTGAAATAGATCTCAGTCATGACAACAGCAGTTACTCACATAATCACTTCCTCTTTAGTGGTTTTGCCAACAAAAGCTATGTATTCAACATAGTGACAAGTGTCTGCACTGCCTGAATTCTACCAGAAGTAGAACAAGAAGAACGTAGTGACGAAACACGTTCTGTAGTGCTGTCTGTCCGATTTCAGCTACTGTAGAAACATGACGATGTGATGTGGCGACGTCCACAGCAGGGGGTGCCCACGGTTATGTACATATAAATGTCTCATTCTAAGGTAATAAAAACATAATGGTTTATTATGTAAGGTCTTTATACACCACTGAAAATATAGTTATTATATATTATATTGCATTTATGTCGATCCTCAGAAATATTACACACTGAATCTTTAAACTCTGTTAGTGGATATGTTATCCAGATATTAACGGTCTGATCTTACCTTTGTGTTTACACCTGGTATTTGTGTTCTTGTTATCCTCCTTAAAATTTCTGTCTTCCAAACCTGTGTGTGAGTAATTTGAGGTGGCGGCTTATTCGCCCCAGAGTCCCTTAAAAAAATCATGAGTGTACAGTTGAGGTAGGGGAAACTTTATAAACTTTGTGAAACGCTGTCTACCACAATTTCATTACTATTTTACCTTTATGTAAATTCAGCAAATGTAATACATTAACTAAGTTATTCCTTTGTATAAAAATATAGTGTCAGTCTGCCCCAGTGAGTTGCAGTACCGGCAGTAAGCTACTCTGTCACCAGACACACACATATTTTACCATATATACCTGACAGGACTTGATTCCAGTGGAATGTTGTTGTCTTTTTGTTAATTAGCACATGCCTAAAACAAACTCAAGCTAAATTTAAAAGCTGATAGCTTGAGCAAGACATCAAGTAATTTTGCGATTAATAATCTGAAGAGTCAATTATTCGTTAGTTGCAGCCCTATCTATTAATAAGAATTAAAGAGAAAAGTTAAACTGTTCTACTCCTTCAAGGTGACTTCAAGTAAAAATAAAATTTTAAGTGAGTGCAGTGAAATCTGAGTCAGCGGTTTACAACGAGAAGCAGCAGAGTGCAACAAAGGCTATGTTCAGACTGCAGGCCAATGTGACCCAAATCCGATTTTTTTGCCCATATGTAACTCAGATCTGATCTTTTTATGACAGGGTGAACAGCCAGAGTCACATGGAGTCTCTTTCATATGTGGTCCAAATCCGATTCAGATCGGATCTTTTTAAATGCAACCTGAGTCTGGACACTCAGGTCGGAATTGATGCGATTTTAACGTCACTCTAGAGCAGCTGTTTTCACTGTCCTAGTATAATTAAATAATATAAAAAAAAATTAAACATGTGCTCTCTTCCTCCTCTACCTAGCTATTAGAGAGTGTGTGTTGTGGGGCAGTTGTGTTGTACAGCGCCAGTGATGAAAAGGACATGAAGTTGTGAGCATGAATAAAGTGAACTGTCAAACAAAAAATCTGATCTGGGAAAAAATCAAAATTGAGCATTAAGGCCTGCAGTCTGAGAGTATCCAAAAACGGTGGCAGCGCATAACTGCTGTATTTTCTACTGAAGACAAAATATTTAGTTACATCTGCTCCCTGTTCCACTGTATTCAAATCAACCACAGCCTTTCATTTTTACCCCTACTGGTTCTTGAATAGAGATGGGGAGCCAGAAAATAATCTGTCAAATAGTCAGCACAACAGAGTCGAGGTTGTAAACCTTAAAAAAGAAAATTATAATAATATCAACTGAAACTCATATTTCTGTGCTTTCTCTCCCACCTTCTTCAGGTCCTCCTGGAGCATCTTCACCATGGCCTCCAGCTTAGTCACCTTCCTCTCCAGGCCTATGTGACCCTCACTGTGAAAATGAAACACATACCATTGGTAGGCCTTGTTAATACTCAGTAAGAATGAATAAGTTTACTTTGTTATGTTCAATCTTGACTTTAAAACTTGCTGCAGAACCATGAGTGAACACAGTGTACAGTATGTACAAAAAACATATTGGTAATCATCAATTAACACACTAATTAAATTAACTGATGGTCTTTTTAGCAGTAGTTTTACAGATGAGGTAGTAAACTATACATTTTCCTCCAAAAAGGAAAGCAACAGGCTCACAGTCTCAGAACAAGCTGCAGTGTTGAAGCCACCCGTGTTTCTTATTCATTTCCTGTGTGTGAGCATTTTGGTTTTGGCTATATCACTACTGTTGGAATTCTAACAGTAAATCATGATATTTCTCTGCTTCATAAAAGTGGGGTATACAATTCTGGAGAAATCCAATACCAAGACAATTACCATGATAAAGAGTGAACGATGACACAGTAAGTAATTGTAACTAATGTTAGTTAGGAAACTGTTGCTATTGCTGCTGCAAAGATAACATGAGAGGACGAGACGGTCCTAGAGCAGCACACCAGCTGCAGACTGCAATACTCACAGCTCCCCCGCTGCTTTAGTTAACATCACAACAACAGCATGTCTTGGCAAACTTGAAAGTTAGCTAAATGTCTGTTGGCAAGGCTTGGCTGGAACTGCTGGAATAGTGTTGTGTGACTTGTCCATACAACAGACTTCTCTATGAGCTCCTCTTTTCTGCTTGCATGGTCAGATTCCTCCTGTTCAGTATTGCCCATGTCTGAATAAACTTCACTCTCTATCACGTTTGTTTATTCTGAATGCAAATTTCTTTCCTGTAACACCGGCAAGTGTGGAAGAACGGACCACGGTGAAGTTAGTTTTAAGTTTGATATTAGTTTTAAGTTGGTTATTCGACAGATATCTGTTGAATATCCAACGTAAAACTAATTTCACAAGCGGAAATATTACGGTAAAGTGTGGAATGATAGGCGTTTCTATCTTCAAACAATATTTCGTCATATGGCACAGCCATATCTGCAATCATGATTCCTTTCAGGTATTAACAAGGTATGGTGTGGATAAATAAATACAACTGGTAAAGAGTGTATGTTGTTACCTAGATGACGGCCGTGACAACGGAGCAGGCTGCAGCTCTATGTGGGGCTGTTGCGGACTGGAAGCACCGCTGCTTCGGTGGTTTGAATCTCCAAACACATAACTTCTCTGAACTGGAAGAAGAGGCAAAATGACAAAAATGCATAATAAACTTTTTAAAAGCGCTACCCTGACCTGGAACTGAAAATATAGGTAAGTCCTCTCCTAATGTAATATACACATGGTGTAACACTGCAATAATTAAAGTCTATATATAATAACTTGTAAAATGCAATCTGTCTTTTTTTCCCAGGGTCATAAAATACATGACTTACTTCAGTGTACTTGTGCAAAGGAGATAACCACATAAAAGAAATACTGTACATGTGTGCACTTATTTGTAATACCATAGTGTGTGTTTCTTTCACTTTCAAATGTACTGGCCACATCCACCAGGTGTGTCCACTCCAAGGGGCTGTCCCTGTCTGAAGACGGGAGGGGCATCAGCTCCTGGGGAATGGGTCCACGATGACGCTCCACCAAATCCACCAATGATGTGTCAGATGCTGAAAGGTCACCTATAAAGAGAAAAGTTGAAAGAGCTGAATGTAAAATGATTTTTCTATATCATTTCTATTTAAATTAAACGGGTGCAGCAGATACAAATCAGTCCTATCACATACCCTTTAAGTTTATTTCAGCTTTTTATGATAAACATTCAACATGTCTTAGTGTGGATGGATAAACCTCGTCTTGGACTGATTTCATAATAACATAAAGACCTATGGTCACAAAATAAACTCTTTTAAAATAGATAAAAGCACCTAAAAGCACATTTTGAATGGACTCCAGCTGTTACAAATATCTTTAAGGGCAAAATACCTACACCCTCCGTCCTCCTACCTACCATGGAGTTTGACTCCCAGCTTGTAGGAGGGCCGTCGGAGGGGAACACCACGGGTTGTGGGTGATCGTGGGAGGGTGGAACAGCTGAACAGAACATCAGTGCCGAGTGCCGGTTCAGTCATTGAGTCACTCAGGGAAGGAAGGCGCTGGCCACGATAGATACTCTCATCTGACAGGGTACGATGGAGTGAGCGGTGGCGGCTGAGAGGCTTGCCTGGTGGTGATTTCTGGCCATGCTGCAAAGGAGTTAAAGTAGAAGTGATGAAGAAGTGTTATTGTAAATACTACTAAAACACAGGATCTGAAGCCATGCATTATGTGGGTGAACAACTGTACAGAGACCAAGAGCATCAATGCTTCCGGTGTGGGAAAATCTCTAGTTTAGGTGCTATTATTTACAAATGGATGTTGTCATTTCCTGCCTGAATGAGATGTAAGATGGACTGAACAAATGTGGGTAACTTACTGAGGTTTCCAAGGGCACCTATCCTAACACAAACCTTTCTGTTATAATGACTTGATTTTGCCTAGTCCAATCAGGCTTATCTAGCCAGATCTAAATGATGATAGCAGTATATTTCAGATTTATTAAAATATAAAAGCTGTAAGGTAAAAGCCTTGCTAGCAGTATTTAGTCATTTAAGAATAAGTTCCTTATAAAGTCTCTATTAACAGGAACATGATTCACAGACATGCCTGCTGAAGCACCTTTTCTTTATGTCTGCGTGGTGGTGGTGGCGGGCTGTCTGGGGCGCTGTGTCGCTTCACATCTTCCTCCATAGTAGATTTGGCATGAGGCTGGGGTGAATGCATATCCCGAAGAGAAGGCCTGGCTGCTGGGGTAGGAATAACCTCCACTCCACCCTCTCCTGGAGATTTCCTAAAAACACCCACAGACACAGCCAGACAATTCACCAACCATAATAATGAGATTAATAACATTGATAAATAATATAGATATGTGGTCACTCAGCTTCGATAGTAGAGCTTTTGACTGGTAAACTGCATTCAGTCACTGCATCACTGTTGAGCCTGTAGTGTAATATCATTTTCAACCACAGGGGGGTAATCAAGTAATACGGATATTTTTACTATCAAAAGACATTAATAGAAAAGTAGAGTGGGTGGACAAATAATGGGATCAAATGTAGTCTTATACAGCAGCCCTACAATAAATACTATCATTGTAAACCTAGTAATGTGCAATTTTGTTACCCTAATACATTTACAGGGATGCAGGAAAAAAAGAAGCTCCAATCTGATAAAGCACTGCAAACTGGGGTCATCACGTCTGACAGATTCAACATAAATAAATGCATTGTAAGCTTTACAAAAGCTAGTACTGATTAAGCGCTAATGTGATTGTTAATGATATTATAAGTCCTCGCGTTCATTCTCCACTAGTGTTGCGCGATGGTCTCTATTTTCATCTCCGAATTTCATCATCTGATCATGGCTACTTGAGTTCACCGATTGCCGATATGATCTCCAGGGGGCACATGTTCCAGAAAGTCAGTGAAATGCCAGCATGGAAGAAACAGGCCTATTAGCTTTAAGGTAAACCACCAGAAACATTTGTAAATGCACAGTGCAGTGTTTCCCACATAATTACCCATGCACGTGCGGCAGGGAGGAGGGTAAAATCAATAGCAGCTATGTACAGCATGTCAACCTCGATAACCCAGCTGTATTCTAACATTAACATATCTGTCTCCGACATTGACAGCGTTGTGTTAAGAAAATAGATATAATTACTTCTCAGAGTTAAGTTCAGTGCTTTATATTTTCTATAAACACACAGCTCTGTTATGATGTGTGTGCGTGCGTGTGCGAGAGAGAGAGAGAGAGAGAGCAAGCGGAGGTGTTGAGCGAATCTATGCGCTCCACAATGACTTGTGATTTTACTCATCAAATAGTATGTGGCGTTCAGCGTTGATATTGTGGCGTGTTGTGTCACCACAAATAAATCAATGGCTGGGAAACACTGCAGTGTGTTGCAGATTCTAGAGACTGTTTTTATGTCATTTTCTGATGACATAAAAACTGATTAACTGAGTTCAAATCTTCTGTTCCGATAGTTAGTTAAAATCGCCTTAATATCAACGCATGAAAAACCAATAGCCGATCATCCCTTCAATCGTCGATTCAATCACCAATCGGAACAACCCTATTCTCAACTCCCCGCAAGGAACGATAGGTTTACAAAAGCAGACTTCAATCCAGTATGACCCTGGTTCAGTTGTTCCAAACTGTCCTACGCTACAGTAGAGCAGAGATAAAAGATTAGGTATTTCCTTCTAATGTAAGCACTGTAGGTAGACCATTACAAAACCACACATATGCGCATCCACCAGGACCAAACCACTAGAGAAATGAAATGCTGAGATGACATAGTTTTTAAGGGCCACCTACTGTACCTTTGAAAAATTTACTTAAACTCCACAAACTCTGGAGGCACTTATATACATGTAGCATACAGGTGCTGGTTATATAATTAGAATACCATCAAATAGTTGATTTATTTCAGTAATTCCATTCAAAAAGTGAAACTTGTATAATTTATACATTCATTCCACACAGACTGATATATTTCAAATGTTCATTCCTTTTATTTATTATAAACTGACAACTAATGAAAACCCCAAAATCAGGATTTCAGAAAATTAGAATATTGTGAAAAGGTTTAATATTGAAGACACCTGGTGCCACACTCTAATCAGCTAATTAACTCAGAACACCTGCAAAGGCCTTTAAATGGTCTCTCAGTCTAGTTCTGTAGGCTACACAATCATGGGGAAGACTGCTGACTTGACAGCTGTCCAAAAGACGACCATTGACACCTTGCACAAGGAGGGCAAGACACAAAAGGTCATTGCTGAAGAGGCTGGCTGTTCACAGAGCTCTGTGTCCAAGCACATTAATAGAGAGGCGAAGGGAAGGAAAAGATGTGGTAGAAAAAAGTTTCCAAGCAATAGGGATAACCGCACCCTGGAGAGGATTGTGAAACAAAACCCATTCAAAAATGTGGGGGAGATTCACAAAGAGTGGACTGCAGCTGGAGTCAGTGCTTCAAGAACCACCACGCACAGACGTATGCAAGACATGGGTTTCAGCTGTCGCATTCCTTGTGTCAAGCCACTCTTCAACAAGACACAGCGTCAGAAGCGTCTCGCCTGGGCTAAAGACAAAAAGGACTGGACTGCTGCTGAGTGGTCCAAAGTTATGTTCTCTGATGAAAGTAAATTTTGCATTTCCTTTGGAAATCAAGGTCCCAGAGTCTGGAGGAAGAGAGGAGAGGCACAGAATCCACGTTGCTTGCAGTCCAGTGTAAAGTTTCCACAGTCAGTGATGGTTTGGGGTGCCATGTCATCTGCTGGTGTTGGTCCACTGTGTTTTCTGAGGTCCAAGGTCAACGCAGCCGTCTACCAGGAAGTTTTAGAGCACTTCATGCTTCCTGCTGATGACCAACTTTATGGAGATGCAGATTTCATTTTCCAACAGGACTTGGCACCTGCACACAGTGCCAAAGCTACCAGTACCTGGTTTAAGGACCATGGTATCCCTGTTCTTAATTGGCCAGCAAACTGGCCTGACCTTAACCCTATAGAAAACCTATGGGGTATTGTGAAGAGAAAGATGCGATACGCCAGACCCAACAATGCAGAAGAGCTGAAGGCCACTATCAGAGCAACCTGGGCTCTCATAACACCTGAGCAGTGCCACAGACTGATCGACTCCATGCCACGCCGCATTGCTGCAGTAATTCAGGCAAAAGGAGCCCCAACTAAGTATTGAGTGCTGTACATGCTCATACTTTTCATGTTCATACTTTTCAGTTAGCCAACATTTCTAAAAATTGTTTTTTTTTGTATTGGTCTTAAGTAATATTCAAATTTTCGGAGATACTGAATTTGGGATTTTCATTAGTTAGTTTTAATCATCACAATTAAATGAAATAAACATTTGAAATATATCAGTCTGTGTGTAATGAATGAATATAATGTCCAAGTTTCACTTTTTGAATGGAATTACTGAAATAAATCAGCTTTTTGATGATATTCTAATTATATGACCAGCACCTGTACAGTAACTACAGATATGTGTAACTGTGTGCAGAAACTGTGTTTTTGCTCAATCCTTACTTGCGTGTGTCCCCGAAGTCGACAGAATTGATGGTGGAACCAGGCTTCCTCCAGCCAATCAGGTACTTGGACTGAGCTCCCTGGCGGGGGTAGAAGCTCTTGGGGCCAGGGGATGCTGAGGACTGGGATGAAGGAGAGGTGGCTGATGAGGAGGACTCCTCTCTTGGGGAGCTGTGGCCTGAGTGCCTGGCACTGAAGGACAAAGCAGGCCCACAGAGGAAGGAGAAAGAGAGAGTTTACTCATCATGGCAATGAACCACAAATAACAAAAGCTTGTACACTGACGTAAGATATAGATTGCATCATAATCCTGGGTTTGAACAACATTTTAAGACAATTACAGGGATTATTTCATGGCTTACCCGGATCTCTATTTTGTTTAGAAAAGAATCTAAACGTTTTTGACCCTTAAGAAATCAATTTTATTCTTAGGTCAAGTATTATTAAATAATTAATTGTGTAACATTTTCCAGGAAGGACATATATTACTGAATTACAGATGGAAAATTATATCAAGTACCACCTGCGGTCAAGTCAACCTTGGCAAACTCATTTATGAGCCTCCTCTTATTTCCTCTCCACCACTATGACAGAATACAAATGTTGTTTAAATCCTGGACAGATGATGGCCAGGTCATGAACTGTAACTCTATCTGAACGGTTGATTTAAGCGAGACACTGGAGTTCTCTCAGTTCTGGACACCAGCTCAGCTATGAAAAGTTGGACACGTGTTCCTGAGGCATAACGTGTAAAGATAAGGAGGAAGAGTTAAAATGACACCTTACACACAGACAGACAGACAGACAGACAGACAGACAGACAGACAGACAGACAGACAGACAGACAGACAGAGACAGAGAGAGAGAACCTCAGTCTAATAATAACTCGAGCCTTTATTTGCTAAAATCACTGAATTGACCCTGCCTTTATTTGGGGCAGGCGTCCATGTGGGACAGGCCTTTAATTCTTTTTGCATAAAACTGAAACTTCTATGAAACAGTTTATTTATTTCAAATCAAATTTATTTCAAAGAATAATACTTGTGTAAAAATGATCAAATAATATCAAATACACGCCGTTCTTTTGATCTAGCTCCAACAGACGGCTTATGCGCTTTTATTCTGAAGGTAGCAACCTATTGAAAACAACACGGTGCAGGATGAGAGAAGTTAGCAGACAGAGAGCGATGGACTTCACATGACAGGATTCACAACTTGGATTAATTTTTTTTTAAAGCCGTTTTGATACTTTTGATCGGTGGACCCTTACAGAAAAAAAGCACTGGTTTCCCAAATCATTTTGGGTCTCGCCCCCTACATTTGTAACCACTCCCTCTCACACAAACACTTAAATATCACCACACAGACTGACCTCGAGTGTGATCCAGCGTCACTCAGACTGTAGGTGCTGCTGTCTCTAACAAGGAGATGAGTAGGTGGGGTTCGGCCTGTCCCGTCCAGACTCCTTTCTCCTGGCGGGCCTGGGGACTCAGCGGCCGCAGGTGACCTCTCCAACATCCTGCGGCCTCCCTCGGTGGGGCTATGCCATGGAGACACTGACCTCTCCCTGCTCTCTCGGCCTCCACTGGGAGCTAGCAGGGAGGTGGTGCTGCCGTGATGAGAGTGGGGGTGAGCGTGGTGAGGGGCTCCATAAGAGCTGGTGTCGATGCCGCTGTCGGCCGACGCCCCCTGAAGGTAGCCGCCTCCTCCCAGGCCGTTGGGCTCTGTTTCACCCTGGTCACCGCCGGAGGCTCCACCTGCTCCCATTTCGTACCATTTATCGCTGTCGCTGTGGCCCCCGCTGGACGCTGTGCTGGATAGAGTGTTGCTGCTGGAGTGGCCAGAATAAGGGCCATCCGACTGCCAGAACAAACAGGAAGTGGAAGAGCAAGGGGAAATGAACATTAAGGAAGATTTCCATGTTAGTGAAAGATCATTCAGTAAATTATCATTAAAATTATTAATTAAAATTATATTAATAAATATGCTAAAGAACAAACTTTAACCTGTATGCTAACAACCAAAAAACTTATCTGTGTGTGTGTGTGGGGGGGGGGGGGTTAAAGAGCATTACAACTGTTCTGTCAGAGTTCTGACTGTCTTAATAAATATTTACAGGTGTAAAGCCTGACCTGGCTGCCCTTCTTTGGGGACAGGTGGATGACCTGCTCCTGCCTCTGGATGCGAGGAGCTCCGGAGTAGCCTTGACCAGACTTAGAGACTGGGGCCTCTGCAAAAATTAGACCAAAAAAACACAGCTGGGGTGGTGAAGAAGACATGCACACATCCTGCGGCACAAACAGATGACTTGTTGATGATTCAACAAAGAAGTTTCTTTCCTCTCTGCTCGCTTATTTGTATTTTGCTACAACAGCCCTCATGCTTCCAGGAAGCCCATAATGCTGACATTGTTTTCGTTCTGCCTCTGTCGTATCCCTTGTCATCAAAAGCAATGCACAAATCAAACAGAAATTTGTCCCCACATGGTCCCTGCTAGCTTTGTTTGCTCTGGACAAGCTGTGCCACGTGAGGGAATACATGTGTATGTGTGTGTGTGTGTGTGTGTGTGTGTGTGTGTGTGTGTGTGTGTGTGTGTCTATGTGTCCTAAAGTGAAACCCGGGGTATAAATGGGACTGTTGTGTAATTGTCTAGATGTTATGCAACAAGACATACTGAGTAGGCTGCTAATGACCACAGAGCACCATAAGAGGGAAAGCTAAGGGAGGTATCATAACATCTGCTGTGGTGAATCTAGTAATGGGGTGAATCTAGTAATGGTGTGAACCCCCCCCCGTATTTCACTTAGAATATTCATTACTCTGCATAGTTTTATCTGCACAGAGGCCCATAGGGCTCTCCGCACTAATTAGAGATGGTTGCACGTGTGCCTGCGTGTGTGTGACTACATGTTTGTGTGTGATATATTGTTTTGTTTCTCAAGAGTTGTTATAGGTCCACCAGATGTCTTGGTATGTTCCATGACAAACCAAAAGTAAGATTTCCCATCACCTTTTGTTAATATGTGTACTCCTGTAGGCTTTGCTGAACTAAAAAATGTTGTTAGGTCATTTAAATAAATGATGTGCACAGGAAAGAATCATGACAAATAGCAGTTTTCTGCATCTCACCAATCGATGCATGAATTAATCTCATAAAGCTGCCAAAGGATATCAGAAGAAAATGGAGTGAACGCTGTGTTAAATGGAAGACATAACAAGAACATTTGATGCAATAATTACTTTAATGCTGTATACATTAAGGGCTATGGTAGTGTCCTGTTTTTGTGTGACAGGAACTGAGAAACAAAATGCAAGAGCAAAAGTGAGCCTGCCCTCTGCATGACTTGTGTTATTTCTGGACAGTGCATGGCCACATCATCATTGCTGAAGACTAACAGGTCAAGGGGGTAAAAATGAGAGGAAGAGGAAAGGACAGCACCCTAAACCACAAAGACGGCAAAGCATTCTGTAGGGCTGGACACTTGGCTAACATAGGCCGAGCTGGCCCAGCCTGCATTGTTCCACCCCGACCAATGAAGACATAAGTGGTATAAACAACCACAAAATGAGAGACCAGGGCAATTCTCTGTGATTGTGGCAGTCAGGAACAGGTTGAGGACATGACTGAAAGTATGCTGGTCAACAATCAACAAAAGAAACATCCTGCTGGGAATCAGAGGACTGGTAGAGGAGCATGTAGTCTTTGTGGCTTTCAGAGACTGAGCTGGAAAACAAGAAGAAAACTCCCAGAAAACTGTGCATGGGAGAGTAGTTGTAATTAAATGAAAGACAATGTACAAGAGCATAAAAAGATGTTTTCACTTTTTTGCAGACATAAACCTAGTGGGGAATGAGGAACAGACTGGAGGGTGGAAGGGAAGGAACGGGGCAATACGAGAAGGATGGCAAACTGTGTTGATGGGGAAACTCTTTCTCCTTTATTAAACTTTATACAACAGAATGAAAAGGGAGAAGAGAAAAAAAGCAATATACTTTAATTGAGATGACTGTTTGATCTTCTTTTCCCAATTCAATATTTATCTCTTTCCCTTTTCTGTTTGTGTCATTATCTACCCACCTTTTTGTCTGTTTGCAAAGACATTAAGACTTTCTCTGTGAAGGCAATATAATTTACAGCTTGCAGAAGAGGTGGAGAAAGAGGAGGGAAAGAGGGAAAGAAGGGGAAGACAAGTGCTGTTTAGAGTGTGGAGGCTGTCAAGAGTTGGTATCTCAGCTCTGGAAGGACCTGCTCCAAAAAACTGTCACTAGCAGATGAGACGGCACACACACACACACACACACACACACACACACACACACACACACACACTTCTGGATACCTGTCACTTCAAAGGATTTAGCAATATGGAAATATATGGATGATTTCTTTCCTGTGCTGTCTTCCCACCCCCGCTATTCAGGAGTCAATTGCCCTCCCATTCTTCGCATATAGAAACACATCAAAAATACATTCACATTACTGAAAACATTAGAATGTACCTAGAGTAGAGTGAGTCACAGCACCTTCCTCTCTCACTAAATTTACAGTATTAACTATTTCTACACAAGATATATTCACCTGTTGACCCTCGTTCGGCTCCTCCTCCCTCCTCCATTCTCGACCAATTGGGAGTCGACTTTCCACTGGACCCGCCCTCTCCAACCCCCTCTCGCCTCTCCGAAGACATCGGAGAGTGCCGGTTGCTTGCAAACCTGGTGAATGAGCACACAAAATCAGAATACATTGCTTTTTTATTCAGCTTCTTTTTTTTTAATCAGCTAAATGTGTTTTTCCACTGATTAAATATGCAGAGCTAGAAAGAAGTCGTTTAATACACAATACATTTTCCCACAGGCTGTAGTGGGTGGAAGTTAAATAAAAAAATATATAAAAAGACATTGTGTCAGGAGCATTATCGTACACAGAGACACACAATTGATATCACCTCACACCCCTTCACTATGTTATGCACTGTTACAACTGTCAAATTGCTCTAATCTCAAGCCAAGTACTGCAATATTACAAAAAAAAATTTTATTTATACATTTACTTGCTGGCTTGAAATGAAATAGCTAGAAATAGTTTTACAAGATCAGTGACTATTATTTTTTTATGGCTTTCTAAAGATGAAAACTGAGTCTTTTTAAACACTATGATACATCTCCTCATGACCATACAATAATGAGTTAAAAAAACATGTTTCTGTCATTCATAATTCCACTAAAAAAACATGAAGAATTCAATAAAAAAAAAGAAAGCAGCAAGAAATTTTTTTGTGATATTGAGGGAAATGTCTCAAAATGTGTTGTCTCTGATACGCTTTCTGAAACAATATCTCATAATTTGCATAAAATAAATAAATAAACACAGATAGATAAAAACAATCCCCTCTCCCCCCTCTTCCTTACTGCTCAGGCATGGACTTCTGTCTCCAGTGAGCGGAGCTTCCGGAGGTGTCACTGGAACAAGACAGGTTGCTGGGAGAGCTTCGATTGTGAGGAGAACGACCCAACGCCAGGGAGGAGGCCAGGCTATAGCTCTCACTACCCGGAGACATCCTGGTATGGGAAGTAACACACACACACACACACACACACACACACAGTAAGAATTTACAGGCATGTGGAAATGAAGGGAACTAACGGAAAATGAAATAAACACATCAAAGCACTGCAGGAGCAAAATGTACAAAGTTGTTCCTTCAGAGGAAATTCCACTGATTTCATAGATATTTCCCACACAGTCTGGAATTTAAAAAAAATTACATGAATACTTAAAAGCCGTTGCTTTAAAATCAGCTGCATACCCAATTGCTGCCCTTTTTGTGCTTTGCTGATATAATACCTTGCAGAATTTGCAATACATTTTTGTTTCATTTCAACAGTGTTGGAGGTCACATGGAAAAAATGACTTCACCAGCTGTTGGCCTTTAAAGTCCATTTTTTCCAGTTTGTACTCTACTTTGGAAACCTCCCGCACCCTCCTCATAATATCAAAATTGTATTCCAATAATCCATATTTGTAAAGCCAAGGGGCTCTAACCTCTTTGTGTCCAGGGGCCGGCCATCGCTGCTGACACTGCGTGGGATGACTGCGCCCCTCTCCAGCCTCTCAGCTGACAGTGTCTTCCCCACTGAGCTACCCAGGCTGATAGCCCGATTGGGCGTGTGGGGCTGAGGCGAGGCAGTCAGTGACTGCTGAGGGCTGCTGGACGTCCTCTGCCACTTGTTGTTATTGCTGCGGAAGGGGAACTTGTATTCAAATGAACCACTATCGCTGCTGCTGCCCTTGTAGTCTGAAACAGGCCGATAGAGCTCTGAACAGCCCCTGTAGAAGGAGAGGAAAGACATTTTGTTTGAGAAGCAAGGGATGTTGTGTGTCTGTGTCAGTGAGGGTTGATATAGCTGTTCTTTTTTCTTGGCAGGGAAAAATGTGAAATAAGTTTGGAATACTTAACTTTTTTTAATATCCAGTGACACAAATAAACCAAAGAGCAGTATATCTACTGTTTTATCTTAATTAGCAAGGTACACTAGTATTTTATTTGTTCTCTTAAAGTAATGTGACTCCTGATGCACCACTGAACTTCAGGCATGAAAGCACAGCAACTCCAGCTGTTTACAGCCTTTCCAGATAACCAAATTCATATTTTAACAAAAAAAAAATCAGTTTGCATAAAAGCTTAAAGAATAAATGATGGCATCTCTCGATGTCTGTGAAGGTTCTCAGCCATCAAGGTCATAGTTATCCAACGAAGTTTGAGGTCAAGGGTAACTTGACTTGGTTGAAGATACTAGATACTACTACCCTTGACCTCAACCTTCGTTGGATGATGGCACCTCTCCCATCCCCACATACCTGCGTGGAGTGGCGTCATCATGTGGAGGGATGATAACAACACGCACAGTCACTGAAGTCCGCAGGAGGTCAATCATCTGCTCATGGGTCAGTGTTGCTACAGCAACTTTGCAGATTTCTACCAATCGGCTTCCCTGCCGTAGCCCCGCCTGCCAGGCGTAACCATATGGCTCCACCTATTAATAACAAAGTTTGATTGCATTACAGCCTACATCTAATATGACATAATGCATAAAAAACTAAACAAATTACAGCCACAGCCTAGCAGCCACACTGTGTGATTAGATCACGTCTAAAATGAGAGAAAGAAATTTTGTAAAGATCCTGCCCGTGAGTCTGAAGTAGAGAGCTGTAGATATACAGTTTGTCTCGTTATTTCAGTGCCAATCCTTAATTTAAGCTAATAATTTTCACTTAAAATACACATATATTCTCACCTAATGTCATTTAATATGAAAAGTTCAACATTCTGTTTTACTAAATGCCAGTTCTGAAAGCAACAGGCAACAAGGCAACTTTCTCTAAACAGTGTCACATATTATCTCCAGTCTCCCTTCATTACAAGTGAACACTAAAGCTACTAAATAAGAACTAATACAATAAAAAGCAAAAACAATGGCATATAATAATTAACAGGTCGACTAAGGCTAATAATGCATATTTAGATTTTTTTTTACACGTGTTAAACACAATGAGCTAGCTTGTTTCGAGTACATTTCTAGAAGAACATTCTAGTTATGTACAGACAGATACCTCAGCCACGATGCCTTCATAGTTCACGTGGAAGCCGAGCTGTCCCAGGCCATTTCGACGAAGAGTCATCTCTGATGTCTCACAGCCCTTAGTCAGGAACTGGACACAGGGAGGGCAGAGAGATACACAAAGTACAGATAAAAGATGAAATGACAGGAATGATCAGAGGAGATATGATGAAAAAGAACCAATCAGGTCAACCAGTGAGGAGAAAAAAGTGAACAGGAAAGGGGACAGTGCAAACGGAAAGATCAGAGAGAAAGAAAAATTAAGGTGAACTTATTTTATCTTATCAAATTTGCACAACCACCAAAAACTATTTTCATTTATAGAATCAGTTGCTGTTTGGATTTTTTTTAAATAAAATACTGGGACAATTAATTGGATTATCTCAGTCTGCATATGTGTGCAGGTGTGTGAACATGTTCAGTGCATATATACACATGCGTTCTCTTTGAAGTTGAAGAAGAGATTTTTAAAAACTTAAGTGATTCCTAAGAGACTTACAGCCATAAATAAAGATGAATTAGTGCTCTAGCTTAAGTGGTACACCTCTCACTGGATGTGCACGCTCATGCATTCACCCACACTCAACAGATAACAGAAATGAAAGCAGCAGTGTCTCTTGCTGTGGCACTTTACGCTGTGTTCACACAGAGATGCGCCGCTTAGGAGAACACTTTTGAACTTCATGTTTTTTCATGGAAGGATGCTACTCTCAGCATTCACATGGGGTGGGGAACACTGTAAAGTGTCCACGCTTCTCTTTCACAGTGAATGAAGTAGAAAAATTGGACAGCCTTGATCACCTGTCACATTGCAAAGGTAACCAATGAGTTGACAAAGGATCCGGTAAAATCAATTCTCATTCAAGAGTGCTTTTTTATTTTTATTTTTTTTTATTGTGGTCAGTCTCAACTCATCCCTCCCTCTCTCTCCCTCTAGTGGCATGCCCGGTGGTTTCAAGGCACCTTGCATTTCTCTTTCTGAACAACTTTATAGAATTCAAACTCACAGGGAAGCGTGAATAAATCATGCTGCAGACTGGCACCTGATAGGAATTATTATGATGCCCTCTGATGTTTCTGAATGTGTGCGTGGGAGAGGATGAGAGTACAAGAAAAAAAAGAGAACGAAAAGGAGAAAACAAGAGCAAAAAAAGATACAGAGAGGAAGAGAGAAAGAGAGACGAGTTCCAAAAAGCAAGTGGCCCAAGGCCACTTCCCTTCCTCTCTCTGGCACAGAGGTAGTTCAAATGATTGAAGATTAACAGCAGATGAATAAAATGCAACATGAAAGTGATACATTTCTGAGTCCAGAGCCAAATAACGGTGTGTGTGTGTGTGTGTTCAAATGTGTTTGTATGCATGTGTGCATATCAAAGACGGTGGACTCAATCCAGGTTACATAAATACATGACAAAAAACCATCAAACACACACACGCAGTTTGAAGGTAGGGAGAGGCTGGGGAAATGAATGTATTCTAAAGTACTGCTGATTACATAAGAAAACACCTTTTTTTCTAACCAGTTTCCATGGAAACAGCTAAGGAAGAGCTAGCACCACTTCACTGTATGAGTAGGTGTACAAGCCATTAGGAGTATCTTGTCCAGAGGTGTTTCTGAAACTCTCTCAATAAGCTGAGACCAGTAATGAGACAGCAGCTTTGGCAAGTAGACACAAAAATGTTGTCATCCTGGCAGACTGACAGCCAACAGTAAATAGTAGGAGAGACTGTGAGTGGGTCAGGTAATGATCAATGGCAGCCTACAGCATTTTAGTCCATTGATTTGGTTTCTCAGTACTTGTCTGCTCACATGAATGAAGGTTTGTTAGCCCAGCCATTCTGTGGCTCCCAACACCACATGGAGTGAGCCTGGTTCACTGTGCAGCATGAAAAGTGCCACCCATTTGGTTACGGGGGGGAATCATTCTATTGACACTGACAAACTACATTACTGTATGTCAGTTATCTTGGCAAATAAACTCTACACCAACTGACCTAATTTGACTTTGAATGTGTAGATGCCATGCCCACGACAGCAAAGGGAGGATAACCAACAAATGTCAATGACATACTTGATTGACAATGATATAATTGTAAAAACATAGGAAACCACAATTACTTAATAAACAAATAACGGATCTAAGCATAATGATGAGCACACAAACAAAGTTTTGTAATGTGACATTTTGTAATGTTTTGTGTGTGCGTGTCTTCTAACCTCTAGACGTTTGACCACCTCCTTGAAATCCTCAGTGTTATTACTGATACTCCTCAGAGACACACTTTCTCCCCGCTCATAGAAAATCCGCAAAGACGCAGGGCTGCTCAGTGTCCAGCCAATCACATCCTTAGTGGCACAGTTGAACACCACGGCCTTGGCCTCCTGGTCCAACAGGATGAGAAAGTCATTGGAGATGGCCAGAAGGGCCTCCAGTTCCCCTCCAGTCCCGTGATCCTCAGCATGGACCGGCCAGGTCACCGCCCCCAGGCTGCGCAGCTCCGCCGCTCCATACGGACGGCTCTTCTCTTTTTTTTTGTGGGCCAGTGAGATGAAAGGAAACTTTCCCGAGGGGTCGATGGGTGTGCTGGTGGTGTGGCGCTCGGCCAGGTCGCGCAGGTACTCCTGCCGTGTTCGGGTGGCCATGGCTCGGAACTTGTGTGACTTGTGGGCAGCATTTTCTGCATTGATGACCTTGGCCAGCAGGAAGTCCCGGAACACAGAGGACTTGGGAAAGGTCACGCCCTCTGGGATAGGGGGGCCGAAAGAGGGCACATCTTTGGAACGAGTGACCGCCACACTACAGGGAGAGGAGCAGACGCGAACAAGAGGAAAGAGGGGACAGAAAGGAAAGTGAGAGAGAGAACAAATGGTGGTTAAAAATCTGTTATTCCAGTATTGACCAACAAATTAGGGTGGGTATTTTGTTAAGACATCAAAGATCCTGTGGCTTAAAGTCAGTGTTTTATTACACAGTAAATCAAAGATTTAAAATTAAAAAATGGTGCTGCCTGAGCCTGAGTTTATGTTTGATATAAAGCCTCATACTGTTTGCCCACTCAAGTATGGGACCAAAGAAAACCTCACATTCTTGACTTCAAATTAGCTGTCTACAGTGATTCATCTGTCTAAAGGCTGTATTAAGTATTAACAAATCTGCTGTTGTGTGGCTTTCCTTGTCCCAACACTCCAGCATGCACTTCATTTACATGTCCTATACCTCCCAGTTTTCCTTGCTCTGCAACTCCCCTTCTCCTCATCCCCTTTTTCCTTTCATTAAGTCCCTGGCCATCTGAGGCCGTTTACCCTGTCTGGTATGTCAGGAACTCAGCAGAGCAGCCATGGAGAGGAAGGAGAGTCAACGAAGAGGATGAGGGGAGAGTGCTATTCCAAATCTCCTTCCCAAAGCCCCAGAAAACACAGAGTGAAGGAAAAGGAAAATGTGGCCCAGAAAGGAGGACTGTGTGAGAGACTCTGAAAGGAGTTACTGCTTACTAGAAAAAAAACCTGCATTTTTTTCCTGTTATGTGAGACAACCAGACTTTCAAACTGATCTGTTGAATGTCTCAGTCTGAAGTGGCTGACAAAAAAAAAAGGGTACTAGTGCTCTGAAATGGCCTTTTATATGACCAAAGAAAAGCACTACATCTGTACACCAGTCACCTGTCCTTGTCTCAATCTCTTCTTGACCAGATGAGCTCAATCACAGATCCTCTCTCAGGCGATAATTACCAGCTGACAAGAGCAGCACTGTAAGTCAGAGCACTCATCCCACATGCCTCCCTGCTGACATGCATCAGCACACATGTTGACACCAGGATTAATCACTTTGTCTAATAAGCAACTTAAGTCAATATGCCACCCACATAAGTCTAAACATACTTCAGAGACACCCAGTCCTCACCGGACACACATGGTGTTCAATTATACTAACAGTCAAATTGTTGACACCTCATTTCCCACCTTTCTTTCTTTGTGACAGACAGTGGTAAGAGAAGAAACTTTTTTTTCTGTTTAAAATTACCTTGGAGTGAACACACAGCCTTTTATGGCACAGTGTTGATAAATAACTACTGGGAATACCCTCAGTAGTTGCTAGTATGTGAAAATGGTGCTTGCATTTCCCACATGGTAATGTGTAACAAACTCTAAAAAACGATGTAAGGAAGAAGGTAATGTGTGTAGGTGGAAGGTCATACATACATACTAACATAAACTTCCCTGTTTACTAACCCAAGTGCCCCATAAAACAGTAAATGCCAGCTTAAAATGCTACTTAATTTGGCAACATACTGCAATGAAGTTTAAGACTATTGATAATTTGAAAATCAGATATAAGCAGGTGTCATTGCAGCATGCAATCATGTTTGGTGCTTTTAGTTCACCTTATCATCACTGGTCTAGTTAAACTGCATTGGACAGTAGAGAATACTACATCAAAGTATAGTAAATAACATTTTGAAAATAATCTATTGGCATGATGTCAATAAAACAAAGCCTAGATTAAAAAATAATCCATAATTGTCCTTTTAGCTAGCAATCACCTTGCATCATTCTTTTTACTTGCTTCTTGTTACTAGCATATACAAATTAGCATTTTTAAACTGACATCCCATACATAAAGAAAATGACAATCTCAAATCAATATTCATCTGCTTTTCTGTGCATGAAAAATTAATCATGCAGGGTATTTCAGAGAGGAGCAGCTAAAGTGGTTATAAGCAGGCTGAACAATGACTAAAATAAAACGTGACCTTTTATTCCTATTCTTCTCCATCACTACAAACATCACTCAATACATTAAAGTGGAGCTCTAAAAGCACTTGGACTGATCTCAAACACCTGTGAGTCAGTCAACCAAAGACCTGTGACTCATGCAGGACAGAGAAGTGATGGAGTGAGGTAGATGTAGAGGTATACAAGCCAGAGAACAAGACAGAGCATAAAAAACTGAATGAGAAAAAAAAAAAGAGAGATCGAATGAGAAAAGAGGGTGAGAGAGCCAGAAAGAGAGGGAAAGGAGAATGTTGTGCTATAAGAATTGCTGGGCTATGTGGCTGCTGTGTGATCCGCATGGCAGGAGGTTTGGCAGTAGAAATGAAAGAGCACATTCCTGTGGTTTCAGTGATTTGTGGTTTTATAAATATCCAGTGTGTGGGTAGCTCTGCTCTTCCAGTATCCACGACCTGCTGCCCACTGAGCCAGGGCAAGAAAAAGAACATGTCAATACCTATTGGGGTGGGTGGCTCAGAGGTGTACTGTATGAGTGTGTGTGGATGTGGAGAAGGTACATTTAACATATTTTTGTCTACTTGTGACAACTAGTCATTAAAGCAGTATAAAGGTTTGAGTAGTGGCTTTTTTGGTAGAGCACATGAAATACGTGCTCTAGACATCAGAACAGAAGTAAAAGATTAGGGAATTAATTCAGGAAAATATATGCTGTGTATTCTAATCTGAAAGATATTATTTACGTTTTGGATGGTCATAACACAAAATGAATAATCTGACTAAAATCAAACCGTGTAATGAAGCGAGTTCTTTTTCACACCCTCAGTCATACAGTCACTATTACCTCATACTGTGTGATGCGCGTTTGTCTAGTCTAGTATTAGTCTCATAACTGCGGAACTCAGCCCTGAAGTCTTTTGTGAATTATTGCATTGCTTTTTCTGGAAAATGAATCTTGACATTTACTTTTCAACATGTGTTAAGTATTTGTTGATAACAACACAATGCCAATATATTCCTTCAGGAAAAAGCACCATCATTTTTGGTCAAACGTACAGTATCTCTCTTCGCAGTGCTGCTATATCTTTGAATAAGTCTGAGATGACTAAATCTGAGCCAACCAACTGAACAAAAATCACACTGGACACTTCTTGGCTTACTAACGGACAGGTTTTGGCTCTGGTGTGGAAGACAGATTTCCATCAGTGTCCGATAGCACATTCACTGTGACATTGCGTGTCCCAGCATTATACTGTATGTGTGTGATGTGGCTCTCTTATCTCTGGTATACATGAGTTTAGGTCACAAAAAAGTTTAGGAACTACTGCTTTAGAGGACAGAGCTATGCTATAGCAAACAGAATAATGAAGTGTGCTATATTTCCCTGCACTGTGTGTATGTGAAAGTCCTCTGGAACCTGGAGGAAGCAAAGCTTCAAAGCATCCTTACTTAAAACATTATGATACAGTCAAATTCCCTGTGATGTCTATGAATCATAATTTACTTCTGGAACCTGATGTTTCACCTCTAGTGTGTGTGTGAAATTAGTTTTCACTTCAGAAACTTGATTCACAAATGAAGGAATTGTATGTAAACGTTATTTGCTCTAAATTCACTCTATTGCTGGGCTCTTTGTTCGTGTGTGCATTGTTGCTCAGTAACGAAGTACCCCATGAGGGACAATTAACACCTCACACAATGTGCTCAGACAGCAATTAAAACAGCCATTAGTGGCAGAGGGAGGAGGAGTCATAGAGAGCAAGATAAGAGACAATGACAGAAGACTAGATAAGAAAAGAGAGGCGGGAATAAACAGAGAATGAAATGTCCATAGCTTTAACTAACTAAAAATAGAGGAAAGGCAGAAAGTTCATTATTTCTTAAAAAATGACTGGCACTTTGTATTTCATATAACGCATCTCTGACAATATGGTAATAAATTGTGAGCTGTAGAGAGGGCTCTCAACACTCACAGCCTAGCCAAAGGCAATGAGAGATGTACGTTAAGTCAACAGATAAGAGCCTCATTGTTTCCACAGTGATGGAAAGTGATTCATGAGGAAAAGTAACGGGGCATACTTTTGGTAAAACATGCAACAATGCATTTTTTAAAAAGGCCACAATATCTATGCAGACTTTTTCAAAATGCATCTACTGCATTGGCTTTAGTATGAGATGACAAATTATAAAATGATCACTATTGTACAACAATTTGTTTGGATAAACCATTCAAAACACTGGTAACAATGCTGGTAATTAAAATACCATAAAATGATCTACTACTCTACTTGGCTTTCTAATTCCATTTTAACACCTCACAAAAAAATAAGACCACTAAATTCAGCTGTTTAGTGACTTCCAAAGCCTCCAGCTGTTCTGGTAATAGGCATTTCTTCATTCTGTTTTTCAGTCAAATACTCACACACTCTCCTGCCAAACTTGTGGACTGAAGTATTGGCTTTTTAAGATCACCATCTACCACAATGTCCAGCCACACTGCATATCTTTCATGTAATATAAGCCAACAGATATTCCCCTGAACCAATAAGTAGGTTAAATAAGACTGACTTGACACTTTTGAGAACTCTGTCTGGGGCGACAAACAACCCATAATACAACACTTTCTTGAAGAAAAAAGAAATATCACCTGTAGGAGCTGTTCTCGGAACATGGGTTATGAGCTCGCACAATCACAAAGACATGCTGGAAGTGTGAGCGAATGTTTTTGGGGGTGAAGGGGAGTGCCCCGGGTTCCTGGAACACAATCGTGATGATATCATTCCCAATATGCCGCTTCCGCAGTAACTGGAAAAGCAGAAAGACAGTAGGAGAAACTAGCGTTAGATCCCGAGTTGTAATAAATTAGATACCTAGAAAATAAAGCTTAGAGCGTCAAGTGAGTTTAATACGTTTTCTATTGCATTATGTCTACATAATTAGTACTTAAAGTGCAAAATGAGTGAAATGACCATTTGATAATGTAAACTCTTACCTTTTTTTATAACTAAAAAGCTGCAACTTGCTTGTAGACATAAACACTTCAATGTGTTGGAACTGAACGCCCCATAATAAACTTACCTGTTGCTTATTGTTGGGTGTGTAGGGCAGCATGGTAGACACATGGAACATGATCTCATAATCCTTGTAAGTTGTATACATGGAGTGGGTGCCCGTCGAGTCAGCTGAAGGGGGATACAATTACATGTGAATTGAACATGCTTAGGATAAAAAACTACAATAGTTTTCATTATAACACAGTCCTTCAATAGGACCCGATCTTTGGCCACTTTGGCATTTTTATTCTCAAGTACGAATTCTTGGTAAGAATATTGATGCATGAAAGCATTTTATAACTGTAGCTTCACAATGACCTATTATTTAGTTTAGTTTTATGCCTGACATCTGACACAAAATTTGAAAAAAAAAAAAAACTATAAATATTATTTAAACTTAAATCTTCCTACCTAGACATTTTATAACCCTAAGCATCTATTTCCATAAACAACTATTGCTATTAGATATAGAGAAGTGTGTATAACATAGTCCGGGAATACTGACAGAGACAGCAGTCAACTGAATGTTTTTCTAATTCAAAATATACAGTATTTATTAATTCCCTCAATTATAAAAGAGCATTTTATGAACAATACCAAACATCATCTTTAGTTCCCCATTTTCCACTGCTGGAATGCTTAGGAGATGACCCAATGTTCCCTGAGCTCTTAATGGGCTTTGGCCATAGAGAGCCACTGCATGTTAATAACCACCTCCACAGTCAATCGATGTGCTCTATTCAGAGAACAAAACTGTCACAACGTGTTTAAAAGGGCATACTTAACAAAGCTAGATTACCTCAATTAATTACGCTCTTTCTATAGGGAGAGCTTTGCATGGCTGTATTTAATTTAATAGAGGATACTGAAGGTTGTATAAGATGTCCTGCAAAAAGTGAATGGCAGAGTTTTTGTCTCCCGTAGCATTATGGTGGATGACTTCATTGATCTAAGGATAGTATGGAATTAAATATCAAACACAGGCTTAGAAAGCAGATGTCATGTAGACATCAATCTTGTCTATAGAGAAAGCAGAGGTGGTCAGGTCAAAGGAGAGAAGAAGAGACCACAGTGGGTCAGTTTCCCCAACAGAATGATCTGACACCAAAGGCCATATGTCACATGTCTGAAATTACAGGAACTTTTGTGTTTGGAGGCAGTGCATAGAGAGGAAACAGAAGATTCACTGAAAGGAAGCCAGAGGCAGACTGAGGTACAGCCGCCCCAAGTAGTGAAAATAAAGCCAATTCTTTATTCTTTGTCCTTACATAATTAATTTCAGTCTAGGGTTTCATTTTAGTCCTCACATTGCATGTCCTTATCCTAATGTTAAAAGTGATTTTAGATTATCTGAGAAATAAGTAGTACTGCAGACTGTGTGGAAGTGTATATATGGTCTGCTCTTTGCACACAAGACGGGATGACCCATTTACCTGCTTTACTCACAGTGGCTTCAACCATTAGGATGAGATCTAAATCTGTGTCTAAACAACACCAATTATGAGGGAGTCTTTGACTTCAGAAGCCATATGTTCTCCATAAAGAGGGTGGTCAGAAAGGGAGTGGCGCTCTGGGCTGATACTATTCGCTGCTGTAACATGCTGCCAAATCTTCTCATGCTGGTCACATAATACTTTTACATATCATCTTTACATATTACAGTAAGATCTTTCTGATATCAGTCCCAAACAATTACCAATTAATATGAATATCAAATTGCATGTCCATGCATTGAACATGCATGAACATGAACATGTCAGAGGGCTTGACCACATCATGCATGCTACCATCCATCAAATGCTTGCCAGGCAAGTGAACACAAGACTCCTCTAATCAATGACAATTTTTACCCTGCTGCTGTGGACTATGTATTAGTTTCAGTGTCATTGTAACACCATCTGAAGTTTTTTTCCACTGTGTAGGACAACTTGTAGTTTCTCTGAATACACATACTCTTGGTGTCCAGCTGGGCCCGGTACTTGGTGAAGCCTTTGAGTCGAACCCTCTCCCCCAACAGATGAAGGAACTCCTCAAGTGCAGGACCAGCTGATTCATTGTTGTACATTTCCTCCTCACTACTCTGGCCTGCCATGCAGTACATCACCCCCACTTTCCGCTGGAAACTCAACTGTGGAGAGAACCGAGATTGTTGCAATGAGAAGGCAAGACACAAGTGTCAGAGTAACCATGTTGACATTTTAGGGTTAGCTCATATTGGCATTTTAAGAATAACCACACTGGGTGCTTCTGCCGTGTTACAGATGCCATAATCCAGAGAAATAATGTTGACATTTCAGAGGTTCAGCTTTTGCTGATTTCAAGAAGCAAAAATAAAAAATTAAATTAATAATAAATAATTCAGCTCCACAATGAGACATCCTCCTTTGAAAAAAATAAACACCTACACATAAAATGATTCATAAAACACAAAATGAAAATTATTTGCTGTGCATAGTACAGAATGTCTGGGAAACTCATGTCTTTAGTTAAAAATTATGCTGAATGGATCATGGACAGCAGTAAAAAAAATATAAAAATTGTCCAATATGAACAATCAGGGGAGGAATCAAGGATTAATCAAAGACACCCAGCCCAACTCAATTGCCTCACTGTGCTGTCTTACCCCCTGTTCATCCAGCTTCATCAGCTGCTCAGTGACCTTAGGTGTATTGAGTGCCAGGCGCAGGCAGTGGACATTTAGCTCAGGTACCAGGTACTCCAGCACCTCTTTGAGGGGCAGGCCTCGAGCTAGACCATGCTTGGATGTGGAAGGTACTGCATCTTCCAGGATGGAGCCCCTCAGGGTATTTAGCTGGAGACAGCACAACCAGATGGAGGAGAAAAAGAAAAAAAGAAATGCAAAGATCAGGACAAGCACTGATATTTTGAGTTTGGATAAGAACACCAAACCAACCAAACACAGTAATCTGCTGTGAAACTAGAAATGATTTACATACCAACTTAAATACATGAAATAAATGTTTCTCCATTGGTCAGTGGGGTATAAAATACTTGATTTCTCAGGGTCAGTGGTTGGTGGTGGTCAACGGTTTTGAACATTTTTGGTTGGGTCCCTCCCTTTCTGCGTGCAATGTGTTAGTTCTTTCAAAATCCTCCTATAACTGGCAACAACAAAAGCAAAACTAGCTGTCCAGCCATCAGCAGAACACCATTATGTCTATGTTTGGAAAACTGCAAGAAAGCCTGTGATGAGGCCTACCACCCTGTGCAATTAAATCCAATTTCCAGCAGGGCTCTTTTTAAAGGATAATCATGGCCATCGCTGCATCATGGGCTCACGGTCGCTCATAAAATCTATCCTTTTTCTACAAAATTCAGACTCTGCTAGTGCAGGGAAAACAAAGTGAGGAGAACGGTCTGGCTAAACGAGAGAAAAACAGCATGTAGGTTTTGCTGCTCCATGTTCCACTATGAGGACTCTTCAGGCTAAAACAAACTAGAGGAGGACAGCCATGAATAAATCAGGAGTACTGTAGAAGGACCGGGACCTGAATATCTATCATGAACAAATAAACACAGCTGGATATCTGCTGTGGTACCATGGCTCTTAAGAATTACTTCTATGTTTGTGTCTTCCGATCGTGTTCAGTGGGTCCAATGTTGGTGCAAACACCCTTAAGGTTAAACAAACTGAAAAGGACCACTGTCACTGAAGAGAGGACAATAGCTGTTCTTAGTGGACACTGGACCTTTTCAATATCAGTGCATCCCACTCACTCACTCCTACACAGACACACACATATATACACCTATACCTTCCCAGCTCCTTGCTCTGAAAATAGCCATTAGAGAGGGAAGAGGGAAGAAAATATAAGAAAACACAGCACAGTGGGTCGTGCGTCATCCCAAGTGATTGGAAGGGCTATTACTCATGTGCGCTTCAATACGAGAGCAATGCTTTTCCTCCTCTACTCAAATACCTTGGGCGCTATTTTAGTCTCATTTAGCTGCAAAATGGCACAGCTCCGTTCTTCACAGATGAAGGCTGACAAAGATGGTAGGTGGGCGTTCAGCTCAGAGAATGAGGACATGGATCTCTTGCTCTAGTGTGACTATAGGAGGAGATGGCAGCAAAGCTAGAGTGATTCGCAAAGATTTCCAATCACTGCTAGCTGCAGATTGAGCTTTGTGAATAAACAACTGCGAGAATACATTACAAATTAAATCAAACATGCAATAAGTTGAGGTGGTGTTAAGGAATGGAGGCGGAGGCATTTAAGGTCTTGAGCCATATCTACACAATTTTAACACAGAAGAGCTTCTCAGTAACTCAGTACAGATTGTACTAAATATTCACACATTTGTGAACATGAACATTCATTGCTACAAATACAGCTGATCCTGGTGAATGGAGAAATACAATTAAAACATACCACACATACAATATATTAGGGCTGACCCCCAAAAGTTGAAGATTCGATGCTGCGATGGACTGAGCCTGATTCGACAGTGAAATGACGCAGTGAAATGACGATCATGCCATTTTGGCGATATGGGGGTGCTCAACGTCTGATTTTACATAGAACTACCAGTTTTCTCCCAATAAGTTAATATACAGCCTATTACAATATACATTTCAACATTTAATGCTGTAAATAAACATGTAAAAAGAATAAAACTTTCAATCAATGTTTTAAAGTGCGTGAATAAATCCAAAATTTTAACTCTAACCCTGGGTTGTCAGTGCGCATGTGTAGGCGTAGCGTGTGTGTGTGGGGTGTCGTAAGACGAACACTTGCTGAAGAGACGGAGCCCCAGCTTCATTGGTGTTGTGTCGAGTTGTCCGCACCTCGCGGGACTTTCGGATAATTTATCACCATTGATGAACCACACAAAGAATATTATTTCGTTTTTAAATAGCTGGCTACTTTAAATAGACCTATGAGGAACCGCGACATGCATGTAGTTGTCGCCAGCATGGCGTGCACGCAAAACTCACACAAGACAGGCGAGAGAGAGAGAAAAAAGGCTCTTCAAAAAGCCTCAGTTTAGGTGGAAATTTACAGTGTAAGTTGAATGAATAGAGACTGTAGCTCTGCAGATTCTCAAGATTAAAGCGGAACTATCGTGTATAAATCCCCCCATACATACATACACACATACAGTGGGTACGGAAAGTATTCAGACCCCTTTAAATTTTTCACTCTTTGTTTCATTGCAGCCATTTTCCAAAAATCAAAAAAGTTCATTTTATTTCTCAGTAATGTACACTCAGCATCTTGACAGAAAAAAACAGAAATGTAGAAATTTTTGCCAATTTATTAAAAAAGAAAACTGAAATATCACATGGTCATAAGTATTCAGACCCTTTGCCGTGACACTCATATTTAACTCAGGTGCTGTCTATTTCTTCTGATCATCCTTGAGATGGTTCTACACCTTCATTTGAGTCCAGCTGTGTTTGATTATACTGATTGGACTTGATTAGGAAAGCCACACACCTGTCTATATAAGACCTTACAGCTCACAGTGCATGTCAGAGCAAATGAGAATCATGAGGTCAAAGGAACTGCCTGAAGAGCTCAGAGACAGAATTGTGGCAAGGCACAGATCTGGCCAAGGTTACAAAAAAATTTCTGCTGCACTTAAGGTTCCTAAGAGCACAGTGGCCTCCATAATCCTCAAATGGAAGACGTTTGGGACGACCAGAACCCTTCCTAGAGCTGGCCGTCCGGCCAAACTGAGCTATCGGGGGAGAAGAGCCTTGGTGAGAGAGGTAAAGAAGAACCCAAAGGTCACTGTGGCTGAGCTCCAGAGATGCAGTCGGGAGATGGGAGAAAGTTGTAGTAAGTCAACCATCACTGCAGCAATCCACCAGTCGGGGCTTTATGGCAGAGTGGCCCGACGGAAGCCTCTCCTCAGTGCAAGACACATGAAAGCCCGCATGGAGTTTGCTAAAAAACCCTGAAGGACTCCAAGATGGTGATAAATAAGATCCTCTGGTCTGATGAGACCAAGATAGAACTTTTTGGCCTTAATTCTAAGCGGTATGTGTGGAGAAAACCAGGCACTGCTCATCACCTGTCCAATACAGTCTCTACAGTGAAGCATGGTGGTGGCAGCATCATGCTGTGGGGGTGTTTTTCAGCGACTGGTTGCAATCGAGGGAAAGATGAATGCGGCCAAGTACAGGGATATCCTGGACGGAAACCTTTTCCAGAGTGCTCTGGACCTCAGACTGGGCCGAAGGTTTACCTTCCAACAAGACAATGACCCTAAGCACACCGCTAAAATAACGAAGGAGTGGCTTCACAACAACTCCGTGGCTGTTCTTGAATGGCCCAGCCAGAGCCCTGACTTAAACCCAATTGAGCATCTCTGGAGAGACCTGAAAATGGCTGTCCACCAACGTTTACCATCCAACCTGACAGAACTGGAGAGGATCTGCAAGGAGGAATGGCAGAGGATACCCAAATCCAGATGTGAAAAACTTGTTGCATCTTTCCCAAACGACTCATGGCTGTATTAGATCAAAAGGGTGCTTCTACTAAATACTGAGCAAAGGGTCTGAATACTTATGACCATGTGATATTTCAGTTTTTCTTTTTTAATAAATTTGCTAAAATTTCTACATTTCTGTTTTTTTCTGTCAAGATGGGGTGCTGAGTGTACATTACTGAGAAATAAAATGAACTTTTTTGATTTTTGGAAAATGGCTGCAATGAAACAGAGTGAAAAATTTAAAGGGGTCTGAATACTTTCAGTACCCACTGTATATACTCAAATCAACACAATAGTCAACAAATCAGGCAGGATAAAAACACAACATATGTCGTATCCATTCCAATGTACCTCACTCGTTCTGAAGATGACCCTGTAGTTGTACTGCTGACCATGCTCCTTGTTTTCCTCTAACTTCTCCCTCCTCAGACTCACTGCAACTGGGCCCAGGTTCTCATCTACCCCCAGGTAGTTCCAGTGTTCTAGGGGTAAGGAGGAATGGCATTGAGGCAGGGATGGACAGAAAGGGATGATGTGAAAGAGAGGAGGAAATGACAAAAGGGGATAAAGGACAGCTTTGCAACTATGCCTATTTTAAAGCTCAATTCTTTTAGTTTAAAGTGGGGAGGATTTAAAAACCTGAGAAAGAAATTGCCCTTGTATTTGTAATTACCACATGTAAAAACTTGGAAATTATTATTATTACAGTATACAGAAAACTGCATTTCAGAAAGACAAGTTCTACACCAGAGGTGGAGAAACAGTTACCAAAAGTCTATGAATTTAAAAAAGCCCATACTGTAGTATTTTGCTCACCTCTGAGGTAGAAGTACTTTCGGTAGTAATAGGCGCCGAGGTCAACATGTTCCACAATGTATCGTTTGGACCTGTCAGCATGTTGGCTTGGCCCGTCCTTGGTGGCCTCCAACACAGCTACACCGGCGTTGGTAAAATGAGTAGTGAGAGTGGCATCCAAAGGTCCTTCCTCTGTACTGCCAGAAGAATTGCTTGAGCTCCCACCACTACCTATGCTGCCCTGCTGGAGAACGGAAGGTAAGGAACAGTAAATTGATTAAGCTGACAATCATATTATTACATTTAATCTTCAGTGCATCCTCAACGTGCGGTAACCAACTTTTAAGTAATCTACAATTGTTGTGTTTTCAAAATGGCTCAAAGTTCAGGCATTAATATTGCAGTCTGCAGTCTCAAGATTTAAACTGAAGAGCACTGGAAAGTTATCTTTTCAGGAATTGAGACACAACCTGATGAAGATTTATTATTTATAAAATTTACCTTTACCCACACTCCTTTATATTTTTCATTATATCTTTTTTATTTTTTATACTCTCATATTTATATACTCTTTATTCTACCTACTTTCTATTATTTTCTATTCCTGATGCCTTGATAAGTGTGCAAATGTGACAAAAGAATTTCTCCTCGGGTATCAAAAAAGTATTTCTGTTACTAATTCTGATCTAATCCTCCTATTCTTGCAGAAACCTACCTGTTTCGCAGGAGAGATGTTCCTCTCACCCTCTCCACCAATTTCATTCCTGAAACAAGGGCAGCTGAGCACCAGGTCATTGCTCTTGTCATCACCAGGGTCCAAAGCAGGGTTGGTACTGTGTCCTCCTCCTGTCCCCTCCTTACTCAGCTCCTCTTGTGAGCCACAGGGTGACCCATACACTCCACTCTGATTGGAGGATAGAGAGGATGTGGCCGAAGCAGAGGCGGCAGCGGCAGCTGAGGCACCTGTAGTGGTGTTTTTGCGTTTGGACCCAGATTGACGATTTTGAATTGCCTCATTAAGGTCGAAAAGAAGAGACTGGACATCAAAATGGGAAAATCCTTTTTGACACACCCAGGGTTTGGGAGGTGGGCCACTCTCATCCCCTTTCCCCCCATCCTCAACATCTGAGCCAGTCCTCGATGTGTCACCCTCCACCTTCACGCTGCGCAGCTTACGGAATATTGACTCTCCACCTGTCTCTGACTTTGACCTCCTCTTCAAGTGCTTCTCTCGTTCTTTCAGCCGACTGGCAGGACTACCTCTGGCTGGACCTAAAGGTCCATCTGGCAGGTCCAGGGCAGCCTGTTTTATTGGGGCCACGGTAAGTAGCTCTGTTAGCCTCTCTGGAGCGGGGCTTCGCTGATCAGGTGCTTCAGACGACTGGTATCCCTTTAGCATGTCAAAGAAGCTTTCTCCTGACACACCATGTTTATCTATGGATGAAGTGCTGCCATACTCACGGTGCATGGGTGTCCACCCAGAGAAGGACCAGCCCTCATTGCCATCCCCGTCCAGCTCACTGATGGTTATGTCACTGTTACTGCGCTGGCGGATGCGCCTCATGCCTTTGCGGGGTGAGCCCAGATAGCCATCCGGTGACAGGAAGCGATTGTCTTTTCCCTTGCTCTGCATCTTGTTTTTTAGTGTGTTGTGGATGTTGCGAAGCATGGATGAGTCCTGTGGGCTTATCAGGTGGCCCAGCTTGGCTGACAGATTGCTGTGGGCCGTGACGGCTGACACCCCCTCCTCCACCACCACCACCACCACCACTACCACCACCACTTCCTCCTCCACCACCACCACCACCTCCTCCTCCTCCGCCGCCTCCTCCACCACTTCCTCCTCCTCCTATAAGTCTTTCTCTATCACCACTTCCTGATCCTGAAGAGCTGGTGGTGTTAGTAGAGCTGGGTGAGTCTGTTTCCACAGTGATATGCCAAACACCCCCTCCACCTCCATCTTTCCTTGGGGGCCAATCAGCCACACGAGCCCGAACCCCCATTTTGGGAACACCGGGGTTGGTGCCAGTGGTGGAGGAGGAGGAGATGTGGGCGCTCTCACTGCGGGGTGGTGGTGCCCCTCCATTGGGCAGTCGCAGGCGGCGGGTATAGAACTCATCAGTAGCCGGCACTGAGCCCCCAACCGAGCGCTCTGTCTGAGAACGCTTCAGACTGGTCATGATAGAGATGGGAAAGGGTGTGGGGAGGGGAGATGGGAGGGAAAGGTTGCTGAAGGGTTTAGATTAGGGTCATCATAATGTCCTCTGAGTGAAGTGAAGAGCGAGTCTTACGGACACATTTGGTGCTGCAGAAAGAGCAAAGGAAAACAATACATGAATAGGGTTCAAACTTGAATACTCAATAGCCAACAAAATATTTTCAATCAATTGTCACTAATAAAAGGAATAGAAGTGATTACAAGTAAATGTGTGTAATTTTACCATTACCCTACAGCTTGTTAGATCTTGCAAAGATGGCTTTAGACCTTTAGAAATTAAAATAGTAACAGGAGAAATAATAATAATGAGTGCTGAAAAGGTACAATATACCATAGACAGAATAAGACTGGCATCAATATTCTCATTACACATGATCATCAGTTCAAGACCTTGAACCCAAGTTCGCACTTTTTAATAACAAAAAAAAAAACTATAGAGATGCTGTACCTGCAGAAAGGACTCAAATGGTGAATGACGCATGCTATGGTAAAATACTTTCCCCAAAATAAGATGCAATCAAGTTGGATCAGGGACTTGTAGGAGCATATATGGCAGGAAATAAATGTTGAGGTACCGCAGGTCTCTTCTGCATTGATTGTGACATTTTTAAACACCTTTTAGACCTATTAGAAGTCAGACAAATTCAGGAAAGTGCAATGCTAAATTGCTGAAGCACTGTTAAGGAAGCCATGGAATTTATTTCTGTTGAGTATTTGCAAATCATTCTGGAGTGTCAGTTAAATACCTAACCAAGGCCTTAATTCTTGTTGCCATCACTTGTAATTCTTGACCTAGCTGTTAAAGACCTTGGCTGCCCACACAATTTGGAATTTTCCCTGAAGGGCTCAGGAGATGAATGTAATATATACACTGCTTAAAAAAAGTTAAGGTAACACTAAAATCACACATCAGATCTCGATGAACAAAATAGTTCAAAATCTTTACTGTACATTGTAAAATTCGAATCACCAACCGAATAAGATCTGCCGACAACATCTGGGCATGCTTCTAAAGAAATGGTGGATGGTGTCCTGGGGGGGATCTCCTCCCAGACCTGGATAAGGGCATCTGTGAGCTCCTGGACAGTCTGTGGTGCTACTTGGCGGAGTCGGACACACAGATACATAACGTCCCAGAGGTTCTCAATTGGATTTTGGTGTAGGGAACATGAGGGCCAGTGTGTGGCATCCTGGTATTGCCTACACACTCTGGCTACATGAGGCAGGGCATTGCCTACACAAGGACGAACCCAGGGCCCACTGCACCAATGTAAGACCTGACAATGGCTCTGAGGATTTCATCCTAGTAGCTAAAAGAAGTCATCTGTGGAGAGAATGGGACACTAATGGCGGACTTGGCAATTCTGGTGTTCTCTGGAGAATGCGTATCGAGTTGCTGGGCTGTGAGCACAGATCCCACAAGAGGACGTTGGGCTCTGATGTCAATCTCGCTTAGTCTGTTTGTGATAGTTCAGATAGAAATGTGCACGCCAGCAGCTCGCTGGAGATCATTTTGTACGGTTATGGCAGTGTTCCTTCTTGCAAAAAGGAGCAGATCCTGGTCCTGCTGTTGGGTTGATGTTCTTCTATGGCCCTGTCCAGCTCTCCTGGTGTAACGGCCCATCTCCTGGTATCTTTGCCATGCTTTTGAGACTGTGCTGGGTGACACAGTAAACTTTCTTGCAACGGCACATACGGATGTGCCATCCTGGAGGATCTGGAGTACCTGTGCAACCTGAATGGGCTGCAGGTACCGCCTCAAGCTACCAGTAGTGACAACGACACTAGCACAATGCAAAACTAGAGAACAATTAGTCAGACTGATTGTCTGTGGCCACCACCTGCAAAACCATTCCCTCTTTGGGGGTTGTCTTTCTGTTGCATCTCCAGTGCACCCGTTTGATTTGCACCAAAGCATGTGATGCTGATTCACAATCTCTTATTATTCCTAACTGGTCAGACTGATATCCCTGAAGTTTAAATGACTTGATGTTACACTGTGATGATTAAGTTTTCTCTTAATTTTTTGGAGCAGTCCAAAAATCAACATTTCCATGTGTCACGTCAAGGGTGTACAGCAGGGGTCGGCAAATAAGTCTGGCATCGTGCCAAATTTTTTTTCAAGTCATTTCATGGCAGGCCAGAACATTATCAATTGGCGATTTATATTCCAATATTTTCTGTGAGTGCGATTAGCTCAGTTGGTAGTAGGGCTGCAGCTTACGATGATTTTGGTACTTGAAGCTTCTATAGATTATTTCATGGATTCATCGATGCATCGTTTAAGAAGTACTTTTGCTTGGCGGCCGCGCCGGAGAGTTGTGTTTTCAGTCCTCACTTGCTGCTAGTATGTTTTTCTTCCTTTTTCAACAAATTGATTGTGAAGATCGTATTCAGCAGGGGCAGGACAAACGCCCCGCCTCCCCGCAGTGTTTTCCCAGTTTAATGTGAGCTTTAGATGACTGTTTGGTGTTGGTGTTGGGGGGGGGGATTATATGTTTTCCAATGAAAAAAAATTTAATTTCACATCAGATTGGCCCATTATTTTCACCATATCTCTGAACAAATAGTTGGAAAAGCTAAAGCAGATAATAAATAACACCCAAAGATCAGTCTACTGGAGGAACTACAACCTTTAGATCTGGAGAAAGTAATTTGGTTGGTTCTGTTGCTCCACAGTGATTTTACATTGATGGCACAGCATGTTTTGGGCATCACCCCTAAGCCTTAACGGCAGGAAAACCCTGTTAATATGACCTCAGAATCATTATAGATACGACTGTTCATGTTCGGCATTTGTGTCTTCATTTTACAGCTTCTGACATTTATCTGTAGACATTAATATAAAAATAGGCAACATGAGAAACCTCCTCCCTTCTGAGGTGAATTTTATTTGTACATTAAAATCCAAAAAGAAACGTCTCATCAGCTTAAAAGGACTAGTTTGCATCACTAAATAGCTTTACTAACCAAAGCTCCTCCAGTCACCTCTGTCCTTTCTTTTCCAAAACCACTTTTTCAGACTGAAAAATAATTTAATCAATCTGTACAGGACAGAGCTGCAGGCTACATCAGTTTAGTCTAACTTTGTACCTGATGTTCTCAACATTGGACGAGTAGGCAGTAATAAAATACAGCTTCCATTACTTAGTAATGTTAAGTTACATAGCAGCTATGTAGCTGCTGTAGAAGCTTTCCTGCTCAGCCTGAAGAGGAAGGGAGATGTTAGCTCACTTTCTGCCGCTCGGACAATCAAACACTCGCTACGCACCTCCTGATTCAGAGTTTCGCTGCTCTTATGACACCATCTATCATGTATGTTCTGCATAGAACGATGAGAGGAGGCGAGCCAAGCATTGAGTGCTGTTGTGTGTGTGTGGCATAGAGAAACAACGATCGATTTGTTCCCTTCCAACAGAGAGGTCTGTGAACAGTTTCTCAAAACTCAATACATTAACTGTTGAGTTTTTCAAATATTAATGCTTTAAGCAGCCTAAACAGCCGGTCATTCACATACTCTGAAGTCGTGTCAGAAATGTTACAAATATATCATAAAACCAAAACTATCTGTACGGCTCTATGCTACAAGCCTGTAAAAATGTTTTTGTGATATGGATGAACTGTCCCTTTAATAAAGGTATGAGCTGCTTTGTCATAGCATTCTGTAGCCTTGTGGGCAGCACTTACGAAACTAAGTCCTCTACTTTAACACTGTAAGTTATTCAGATGGGTCTGTTTGAGCAGCATGACATCCTAGTCTGGGCTTTGGTTCGGCTTTAAACACTTAAGTGTTTGAAGTCTAACAGGCATAAACTCATGTCTTTCCTGTTTCACAGCCGGGTGTTGGGGAGCGTATGTGTGACACACATGCTGCATAGGCATGTATTGCAGGAACATTTTTGATATGCTAAAGAAGCCTTTCAGTTATATTTTGGGTATTATATTAAAAAAATCATACTGTAAATTTATCTTAAAGCTCACATGCCGTCATGTGATAAACAAAGATAAACAATCATCCTGTGTATAATAATTAAACTATTTCAATTCACGCTCAAGAGATAATGAACTGTGCAACTGAAATAACATGAATATAGATGAACCTCCCTAAGGGGTTTTCTTCTGCCAGCAAAAAAATTTACGCTCGTCAAACTTTTTATCAGGAATCTTTACAAAACTGACTCCAACCCAATGTAGACCAGTAGTTCACCGCTCTTTTCAAAGCTCTCTCGAACAGATTCAAATACGCAAAACACAAAACGACAGATCAAGCATTGCACAATCCCAAAAGCAGCATTTATGCAAACACAGGTAAGAAAAGCTGAAAATGCACAACAAAATGTGTCCAATAAACTCCCTTGCTGGATTGGGCACTAAAAGATTCCTCAGGTGAAGCATTGTGATGGAACAGTTCATTTTCATAATGCCAAAGACATCCAGACAAATTTTGCTCCCATTTCACTACTGCATGGATCTCCAGGGGTTACACATCAAGGCAGCAACACAACCCTGAAGTTATTCAATCATCCTTCTCTTATAGACTAAAAGGCTGTTTCACTGATAACAGCCATTGTTGCACAGGTGGCATGCTCATCCTCAACACCCACTCAGCATGCTTATCACAATACCACATGCATACCATTACAAACAGACGACAGTGACTTTGGAGCCAATCATAAGTGGCTTCTTGTACCAAGACACATAAATTATATTTTATTCCCCCAAATGGCATAAGCAACCAACTAAAAAGTAAATCATAGTAGAAGTCAAAGTAGAAACAATGCTTTGTCCTCCACTATGTCAGTGACGCCTCTGAAATCACACTCACGAAACCCAAATATCTGCAGAGTGCCTTTCTCTTTCTCTCCACTGAGGACTAGGTAGTACTCTTTAATGAGTGTTGGAGAGAACAAAAAAACAGTGAAAGAGTTAGCATGAAAGAGTGAAACATTTTAGAGAAGAGAGCGGGAGGGGAGAGGATTATACTGTATGTTAGCTTGGGAGACCGGGAATTGAAACAAATGATTGTGGCGTAGCATGCTGCTGCAGTCGCAGAGGACCAATTACACTGAGACACTCTGTAACCTTTAGCTGTGTCTAAATGAGGTCGATTCCTGAGGTAAAGTGGGGTAAAGTGCTACCGAGGTTGTCTACTTACTCAGTCAGATGGAAGGTGTTAACAGAGGGACTTATTTGCATCTTACCAATAATGGTGGACCATTAGTACGACCTTACCAAAACGTTAAAGTGTTGTTGTATATTATCAAGCAGCTATATAGATATTAGATATTACAGATTCAAATCTGGTAATTAATGGTTGGTTTAACAGCCAATTCTCTACAGAGGAAATTTTGTGCAAAAAAGACAGTAACTCTGGATGATACTGATGTAATTTGACTAACTAGACTGATGAAGCCTCATAAAACACATTTTTGGACAACTGCAGATTTTGTCTTGCATTGGAGTCACCCTAAGAAAGGATTGCTTCACATCCAGTATGAACAGGAGGAATGATGATGAGACTACTAAGATGAACCTATCCTTTAATAAACTGAAACTACTTATTTTGTACTTGTACTTTTCTGTGAAGCACTGTAAATGCAGTACTTTTAGATAAGTAATAAATTAATCAGATTTATTATTATCATTATAGTTGTCATCATAATTAGTATTCATATTTGTAATAGTAGCAGCAGAATCAGTAGTAAAAGTTACTAAAGAAATTAGGTTTTGCATGTAACAGAGTGAGTATTTGTGAAGGGACCATCGATCGTTATAAAAATTCAAACAAATGTTATACACATTACAAAGTTCTTGTTACATTTTAAAAATTAAAATCATTTTAAATTTAATAACAGCTTAAATAGATTTCTGACATATTTGCTATGCTGTGTCAACTATCTTAAAATGTATTGGTAATGCAATACCTTACATGTTAAAATAAATAATTTCCTAGGAATTTTCCTGGAAATATGTCCATTTATACTAATTACATACAAGTTAATTTTCAGGAGGAATTTCGTTGAAAGAACTGCTCCAATTATACCTGAGTTAATATCATACTTTGTGAATTTATTATTCATGTGTTGAATAGTTTTTTTTTGCCCGTAGACACATTTGACAATTTTTGCATTTTCAACTGACCTTCCGTACACTGCCTAAGTGACTCTAGGCTTCTCTAGGAATTAATTAACTGAGTCATAGCAGTTGCACACGTCTCAATTATCCCCATAGTTAGAACCAAATTAAGACTGTACTTTCCAGAAACATTGCAATGAATTTGCAGTTGCATATCAGTTTATCTTTCATGAAATTATAAGAAACTATGGGACCCCGTAAAATACAGTATTCCCAAAAACATTGATGAGAAATAAAGGACAATATTTATGGATTAATTCACTAAAATGTCTGTGGTTACTACAGTCTGAGTTGTTGTCAAGCAGCACAGGTGAAGCCAGTATGGGCACTGTGTGATTATGAATCTGCTCCAGTGCACAGTGAGTCATACACACCTGAAATTTATAGAGCAGACAAGCTCTCTAACTAACTGACTGAGAGAGGCGAGGGTTGAACAATGAAAGGAGAAACAGTCATAGAAAGACTCTTGAAAAGAGAGGGCATGAAATGTTAAGCAGAGGGTTCTGTGTGTGCGTGCGCATTTTTAGACAATTGCAGACAGAATTAGTGTTCTGCATTCATTAATCACACTATTGTCGTTGAAGAAACTTTTTTTACAGGCTTGTGTTTAGCAAAGATAGACCAGTAGTGGAGGGCAGGGGACTAAAGAAAACAAATAATGCAAGAAAGAAAGAAAAAATCTTTAAGCTAGTGTCAATTGCACTGTTTTTTATGTTGCCAAATCTTTGACAATTATACACCTGTTTTCCCAGACAGACGACATTACCACACTGACTGGCGAGTCAAGTCGAGTCACGTCATGTTTTTTGTAAATCCTGACAACACATACAATGTCTCAATGTCTCAAGCCCACAACAGAAATAGTTTCAGACCCAGCCCAGGCTTTCTAGGGAGACAAAGAGGGTGGACCAAAAAGCCTTTGGACATAAAGAAAACAATGGGAAGAAGAATGGAGAAAATTCAAAAAGAGACCCCCCTTGCTGGTTGTGCAATAGAAGGGAATAGGTGGGAATATAGCAATTACAAATAAACAGACAGACACTGACTCAAACTTTGACAGCATGTCCTCTCTTAAGGGTGTGACCGTTAAGGCAATATATCTATGTGTGTGTGTGTGCGTACACAAGCATCTGTTCACAAATGTGTGAAAAGACTGCAGGTGAAGCAAAGAGCCTTAGCCAAAAAAAAAAAAATTGGAAAAGATCCAGATGATGACTCACATGGCACCCACAAGTGTCTCTTTCTCTGTCTCACACTCAAATACACAAAAACAACGACCCAGATGATGAGGAATGTTGAATCACATTATTTTTTTTCTCACCCATGTCATCTTTCCCAGTGTCAGTAGCACTAGTGTCTCAGTTTTCAGTTGGTTTTCTGTCAGTGTAGATGGGAAAGCATCAAACTTTCAAAACTCACTCATATTCAAACTTCACTGAATACAAACTATATGCAGAAAGTTTCAAAGTAGTAATGATATAGTTTCAAATGCGCTCTGGTAATTGCAATTCAGAAATACATCGGCAATGACTGCTCCACCAACGAGTTTGATCTCCAAAACAAACTACTTTAAACGAAACGCAGGTATTTCAAACCCCCCGTGTGTCAAAATGGAGCAGTAGTGGCCTAGTGCTCTTAAATGCTACACAGCCATTTGAAAGCCAAACTAGCGTTTCATCTCAGCTTGTCTGATTATAGATGACGAAACAGCAGGCCAAGACACGGAGGGAAGATAAGGAGGGAAAAAAAATAAATCAAACATTATACTCTTTGAAAGTTGCCAGGCAGCAGGCAGTCCAATGTGTTTGGAGTTTCAGCTCAGAGCCTTTCAAAGTGAAATTGTAATTGTGTGGAAAGATAAATGTGCTTTGCTGTTTCTTCTTCCTCTGCAGAGCTCGGCAGTGGGGTGGGGTCTCTGCTCTCGCTCAGTGAAATGTAAAAAGGGGCTCTTTGGGTGCTCTGAAGTAAGTCTGCCGGTGTTGTCTTTTTCTCTCGAGTGTGAAATTGCGAAGGCATTCTACAGCACATACTCCCCTATCCCCAGCTATCACAGAATGGCAATGGAGGCAGTGGGAGGAGATTTGACCAAGTGTTGAGAGTCTCTCTCTCTCTTTGTGTGTGTGGGTGTGTTAGTGTTAAAGTAACTGTCACTTAATAATAATAGAATACATATATTTTTTTCTATGGTTCCAGGTACCTAACAGGATTTGTTTATAAATACATTTGAACATCTTTACATTTTTATAACAAAATATCCCTTTTAAGAACCTAAAGATATCCCTTAATCCTAAATGATGACTCTAAAGAAATATGCAATGCTATTGTCATACATTTTCATTTCAAATACCTCAAACAATAGAAGGTAATGGTCAGGGCTATTGTCTGCTGTACACCAGTGAGTTGCACAGAGCTGCAGTCAAAAGTATAGCCTTAATTGTAAAGTCTTAAATGTGTACTTTTTCAGTCCATACGACCACTCTGCTTCACAACTCCATTTTGGCAGCAGATTTTGAGTCATTAGTCAAACAGATGTTAATCACGGAGTCACAAATATGAACATCTCATTTCCATATTTGTGACTCATTTCCTCATGACTCCAAGGATACTTGTATTTGTTTCATTGTGACATTTCACCAAAACTGGCATATGCACAAAAATGTAAAAATATTCTTACCTGGCCTTGTTTAAAAAATAAAAAAATAAAATCTCTCCCTTGACTGTGGGTGTCTGGATCTCTTGTAAACACAAAGCACCTAAAAAGACAAAGAAGAAAAAAGTTGAAGGTTGCAAGGATCAACCTCACTTGGCTAAATAAAATTATTATTAAATAGGAGAAGTGAAGATGCAACAATATCTATCAAATGATGTAAGTCGTATTTGTGAAGTCACTGCAAATTACATATTCTTTAACAATATAGTGTTGATTGTGCTTCTAAGATTTCCTTTGCAGTATATTGTTCTTCTGTATTTTATGTCCAATCACAATGAAATCTTTCATGCTGTCTTCACAAACACAAAAGGTAATACTTTCCAAGAAAACATCTTTACTATACATTACCCTCACTTTATTAGATACGCCTAGTTAGAACTCATGCAGGAATGAATCCTACATTGATACAGGTTATAATGAACAAAACAATGTGCATACTCGCCGAGGTGTTTCCTCGCCCGCAAAATGTCATGAACCCACGTACTGACAGTCTGTGCTCTCATGTTTCAGCCTTCTCTTCATGCAGAGCAAAGGCCAGAGCAAGCAGGCCTAGATACTTTGTGGTAACATTTTTACATTCACTAAAATTAAGTAGGCTACCATACTTGCAACACATTGCCTCCACAGAAATTATGTATCATAGCAACCACAGCGTCTCAAAAAAAACGCACCGCTCCCATTGCAATGATTTGAAAATAGAAAAAAACGCTTTGGTGGACACGGGCCCATACAGAGCAAGGACCAGACGAAGTACTCTACTCTGTGTTGACATTTTTACATCCAATTAAGTTAGGTATAACTACTTGCAACAAATGTATCGTAGCAACCAAAGCAGGCGGAAAAAACGCTGCGCCTCAAAAACGCCCACTAGCGCTCCCTGCTGGGCGTTTTCAGAAGAGCAGCTAGCGTTTTCATCTGGTAAAAACCGGGACACGGGATAGAGTCGAGGCGAGTTGAGCTGGTACTGGTAATGGAAAAATGGCATAAGAAGCAGTGAACACTGTCGTGTTTGCAGCGGCGGTACATAAGTCTGAGCGTGTGAAGAGAACTGAAGGAGGCAAATTCAATAAGTGAGAGATACTTAAGATGGAGAATGAAGTAAAATTCAAACGGTGAAATAAGAAACAAGCTAAGTTAAAAAAAATAGTAAAAACATGCCCGCTAGGGTTAGGGTTCACTTTACTCACTTTACGCTCCTATGTACCTCCACGGTGCAATAGGTTCTCTAGTTACACTGTACATCTACATTTCTTTATCAAGTGAAAACAAATACATTAAGTAGATAGATTAACTATTTCAAACAAAGTATTCTTTCACAAGAAATGTATACAGCAGTTTGACACAATAACAAGGATACCTGTCCCACAACCCAATCCATTTACTGTCTATACGTCATATACAGTTGTGGAGTGTACGATACTTTTGCTGAAGAGTTGTTGTATTGGTTTGTATAATACTGACAGGTGTTCCTGTTATTTTGGCAACGCCAGTTCAATCACTATTGAACACAGCTTACTGTACAAGTACTGTTGATCCATATCCATACTGAACTAGTGTACTCTTTACCATCACATTGGCTTTACCATTCACACAGGACAGTTGTATCTGGGTCAAGTGAGCTCTGATGAGTCAGGTCCATACAGCCAATTGCATTCGTGATGGGCTGATTTATTATTTATGGCAAGCAGAGAGGATTTTGTGAGGGTTGGTTGGTAGATAGATAGGTAGAGTGATTTGTCCGCAAAGGCTGAGCTGTTATTTACAGACTGACAATAGTGATGTATCTGTGTTATCTCACAAATAAAATATCTTTCATATAATGTTCCGGCCTAAGCAATACTATACTTGGCATGACTGCAGCGGTATTAAGGTCAAGTTTACAGATATCAAAAAGCCATAACTGTTGCTGCACTTGGCTAATTTTAACAAAACTGCAGGTATGACGCATCTCATTAATAACAAGCCCAAGAAGTGAGTGCGCCTCGATGCTTGCTTCTTAATTTTCTGAGGACATGTTTTATTTGTAGTGATTTTGGATCAATCTGTGGTGCTAAATGGAGTTTGCCGTGTTGTTTTTGCACTTCCTGAATAACTTTTTAGCAGCTGTTTGTTTGTATTTTCTGTTGAAAGTAGAGCATGACATACAAGTGCTTGTGTTAAGCTACAAAACACACTTCCTGTCTTTAATCTTAAATAGGCTAATCGGAGAAAAAGACATTTGAATCTCTGGATTGCAAGCCTGACAAGCATGCTTCTTTCTCTGAAACACCTTGGCACTTGCTGACATTTTCAAACTGCATGCTGTCACACCTTGTTCACTCTTGGGTGTCTCCATAAGACAATAAATAAGTAAACAGTGGAGAACACACACATGCACTTAAGACACACACACAGACTGAACAAGGGTCCCATCTGAGAGCTTCCAATCCATTTACGATTCCTTGCGTGCCTAAAATACTGAAACAAACCAAGCTCCAGGCATCATGTTTGGAGGAAACTCTTCAGGCTCCTCAGACTAAGAAGGATTTGGCAGGAGCTGCATTGTGTGTGTGTGTGTCTGTCTGTCTGTCTGTGTGTGTGTGTGTGTGTGTGTGTGTTTTGTGTGTGTGTTTTAGTGATGCCCTAACTTGATAGTTTTGGCATCGCTGCCATAGCGGCACAAAGATATCGGATATTGAAAAGAAATTTTACAATTTAATAAAGATTATTTAGCAGTGTATTTGTCAAGACTAGTTATTTGAACTTTGCACAATTGCAAGCTCTGATAAACATGTTCATCACATTCACTCTTTCACCCCCCTATCTGACAAGGCTGTATCTGCTTGCCTGACCTCAGGTGGCGCTGTTAAAAATAAAACCATGAATCAGGTGAAATCTGTCTTCATATGAGCACTCTAACCCATTTTCTGTCTTCATCCACTTAATTATATTTAATATAGTAAAATGTCATTAAAATAGTAAAACACATTCTAGGCAAATGGCTCAGTCAGCTGTGCTCAGACAGCAGCAATGAAGCCACCTGGTCCTCTCCAAGAGCCACCTCCGCACCACCACCAAGAGCCCTCTAATCTGTGCCAATCATATGACGCTAAACAGCCATTTGTTGTTGAATTGGGCACCAGCCCACGCCCCCTCCTCATTTCAACAGCCACTGCAGACCCTAGCAAAATGCCGGCAACGTAGCAGCAGCAGTGAGGGTGACAGAACTAGCAGAGTGGTGAATAATAGAGAAAACGAACTGTGGTGTAATTAACATGGTGGCTCGGGGCTGATGTACCATAGAGAGACAGAGAAAGGGAGTGAGGAGAGGGCGTTGAGAAAAGAGGATGGAAAAAAGATATGCAGTGTAAAATGAGAAATTAAATTAATTAAAGAGAGAGAGTGAGGTATTTTTGGAAGAAATGAAAACAGATGCAAACAGAATAGACAGGGAAAGAACAGAAAACCCATTTAATGCATCACATAATAGTGGCACATGAAAGTTCAGAGATGGAGGGAGAAAGGCAGGCAGAGAAAAGTGATGTAGATGATAATTACATGTTTCCCAGCACGTACATCTCAACATGGTCTCACTAGCTCGGTTTCAATTTTGTAATATAAAGTTCACTTTTAATTGATAACAAATGGTAGCTGTTCAGTCATATGAAACAAGTTCACAGAGTAAATGAGGATGTCTTGTTATCCAGTGGCTGAGATGCACAGGTGACTTGTTTAGCCACAGAGAGAAAGCCATGGTTTGCAGCCATCAGAGAAGAGCTGCAGATTTCCAAAATGGCGCTGCTCTGCGTGGGCAACAGTGAGCTGGAATAGCACTGCAGTAAGAGGAGTGTGTAGGACTGAGAAATGAAAGCAGCTCACTCTTGTGTGGTTTCTATGCAAGAAGACAGAGGAGGATAGACAGATACATGGACAGCAGGGGAGAAATGACAAATAAGTAAGGGAAATATGAATGAAGCCACAAAGGAATTCTACAGATTTCCACCTCAGTACATCCACATTAGGCCGGTTAAATTAAGTGCATTGTTTTCTCTCCTTCTCAGCCCTCTGTCCACGCTAAAAAACATTTCTCGTTTCTCCAAAGTGGATCAATTTTAAAATCCAAGTTAGTTTGTGCAGGAAAAAACAAAACTAAAAAAAAAACCGGCGCTTCTGCAAAACAATGATGCAAGTTAGGGAGAACTTTCTCTCAAGCCTCAAACCTTCTCAGTGTTTTTTTTTTATTTTGAATGTAGTCGATCACACAGTGTAAGTGTTAACATATATTCATGCTGATTTTGTCAGACTACATTGCAATCATAAAAATGATTTTATCAGCACTGCAGCTCGCCAGCTGCTGGTTACCAAGTAGTATTTTAAGCCACCATCAAATCCCTATTTTATACATGCTCACTTGTCTGACAACAGAAATATAAGAATATGTAAATGAGAACAATTATTTAAAGAATTTGGTTTGTGAATATGCAGGCATTAGATGGTCTCTCACAGTCGAAGCTTCGCAGTGAAACGAGGATCATGCTAATATTGGCGAATACGGGGGTGCTAAACGTCTGATTTTACAAAGAACTACCAGTTTTCTCCCAATAAGTTAATATACATCCATCCATCCATCGTCAACCGCTTATCCTGCGTACAGGTTCGCGGGAGGCTGGAGCCAATCCCAGCTGACATCGGGCGAAAGGCAGAGTACACCCTGGACAGGTCGCCAATCCATCGCAGGGCAGTTAATATACAGCCTATTACAATTTACATTTCAGTGTTTAATGCTGTAAATAAACATGTAAAAAGAATAAAACTTCCAATAAATGTTTTTAAAGTGTGGTAATAAATCCAAAATTGTAACCCTACCCCTGGGTCGTCAGTGCGCATGTGTAGGCGTAGCGTGTGTGTGGAGGCGGACGCTTGCTGAAGAGACTGAGACCCGGCTTCACTGGTGTTGTGCCGAGTTGTCCGCACCTCGCGGAACTTTCGGATAGTTTATCACCGTTGATGAACCACACAAAGAATATTTTATCGTTACCCGCGACGTGCATGTAGTTGTCGGCA